CCGAACCGAATACAAACCAAACTGAACACAAACCGATAGAAAACCGAACTGAACCGAACCGAACCGAACCCACCCCTACAACAAATTATGGACAAAATAGTAATATTGTACAATTTAGAAATCAAACGTGGAAGAAAAAAATTCCACCACGTTTGCAAATCAATTTTTCTCAAACTGTTAGATTTCCTTGCCGAGGAGGATAGGAGGAGGCCATTCCATCAGTTTATGTCACAAACTTTAGATATCCCAGCGGAGGCCATTGGTAAAGGTTACGGTACTGAAGAAGCAGAAAAAAGACGTATGTATGTTTAGCGCAACAAGTCATAGTAGTTTCAATCTTTGTCCAAAGTATGCAATTTGGGATGATGGATGATGAATTACAGATGGTTGCACTTATTATTTAAAGTTACTTCATGCTTCCTCTTTAGTTTTCTTATTTCCTATATACGTTCTCTACAATTGTTGTTTGTAGTTTGATTGTTTATTTTTACTCTTCAATGTTGTACATATGTATTTTATCAATAGTGATTAATGCATTCGTTACTGTTTTCCACAAAGAGTTTGCACTCTTTCTTCCAAACGTTAGTGACATTGGTGATTAATTTTAGCAACAAAAAACATTGAAGCCATCGCCATGGATGTGATGATTGGTGGTACGTGATCAGAGATTGAAAACCCTAAAAACTGGATGTTGACGTGTAGGGTTGAGTTGAGGAAAAGTAACGCGAAACTTGAATGGGCAAACGAAAACATTTGGTACTTCAAGTGTAGGTTGGTTTTCTTCTCTCACAATTTTTTTTTTCTTTACGTTCTTCTTCCTTTTCCAGCAAATTTTCTTATAACTATAGGCCACAATTGTTTATAAAGTATTACAATCATAGGGTTTTGCACAGAAAGAGAGGAGAGGCTGACACTTGATGGGTTTCTCTTATTAAGTTTTCATTCGTTTATCCTTTTTTTTTATTAATGTTATTGACACAAGTTTTTTCATTGGGGAAAGAAATTTGGGTAATAATATGCTACTGTGATGTATCTTGCAAGGCTAAAGACGATTCTATGCATGTTTGAAGGAACAATCTGAGTATTGAAAGTCCTATCTGTGTAATAGGGTTTGTGTCAACCCTAGTAGTGCTTTATCTAGTTGTATAAGTGTCTTATCTGGTTGGCAGCTCCTTAATTCAAGGAGCTTAATTATGTATAAGAGTCTTATCTTGTTGGCAGCTTGTTGGCAGCTGGTTGGCAGCTGATTGGCAGCTCCTTAATTCAAGGAGCTTAATTATGTTTCCTATGCCGACTTCTCAGCTTGATTCAAGGAAGTTCTAGGTTAGAGTCTTGAGTGTTGAGTGTAGTTTGCAACTCACTCAAACTCCTCTATATATTTGTATCATGTTTCTGTTCCTAGTACGAGAACAAAATACAAAATACACAAACTTCAAAAGTTAACATGGTATCAGAGCAGGCATCCTTCTGAAGCCTGTCTTTGAATATCTTACGTTGTGATTTCTCTTCAACAAAACTATGGCTGATGAGCATTCGGAGGAAGAGAGCATCATTGCTTCTCCTTCCACTCACATCTCTGAAATGGATATTAATCCAAATCAACGACTCAGTTCAGTGTTATTGAATGAGTTTAACTATTTACCGTGGGCAAGAGCGGTTAGTCTCGCACTAGGTGGAAGATCCAAACTGGGTTTCATCGATGGCAGTTTTCCTGCTCCTGGAGTCACTTCTCCTGAATATGGAGGGTGGCTTTGCAAAGATCAGCTGGTCATGTCATGGCTGCTTAATTCCATGGAAAGGAAGATTGCTGAAATCTTCAGCTATTCCGAGTCGTCACTCACTCTCTGGACAACAGTGAAGGAGATGTATGGTAATCAAAATAATTCTGCCCGCATTTTTCAACTCAAGAAGGATATCTCCAACGTTCAACAAGAAGGTAAAACCTTTGTTCAACATCTTGGCTCTCTAAGAAGAATGTGGAATGAGCTGGATGTCTATAGACCTCACACCACTGATCACGCGGTGCTTCTTAAAAGAACTGAAGAGGATAAGATATTTCAATTGTTGTCTAGTCTGAGCTCAGACTATGAGGATTTGAGAAGCCATATCCTCATGAATCCTGAGCTACCATCCTTCACTAGCATTTGTGCAACCATCCAACGTGAGGAAGTAAGAAGAAAAGTCATGAACAATGGTACAAAAACCATTGTGACTGAAGCTAAGGCGTATCTAACAAATGAAAAAAGATACAAAGGAAAAAACCCCCATCTAAAGTGCCTACACTGTGACAACATCGGGCATGTGAGAGATAAGTGCTGGATTCTCCATCCAGAACTTAAGCCAGATTTCATGAAGGACAAAACCACGCAGAAGACAAGTCGAGCACATCCTCGTGCCAACACCTCATCATCTTCATCTTTCAACAGTTCTGATCCATACAAACAGTTCACTGCAAATCCTGCTACTCTTATAAATGAGTTCGCAGCCTATCTCCATCAAAAGAAGGGTAGGGAAGATCGAGCTGCTGAACATGAAGATGGAAGTACCTCGGCATTGCTTGGCAAGTTTGCTGGTTTCCTGGCTGATGCTGATCGTTTACCTCAACAAGGCATGAAAGGTATCATGAATGCTTTCAAAACTGCTCTTAAAATGAATGAGTTGCATGATTTTTGGGTTGTAGATTCAGGTGCCATAGATCACATGACTAATCAAGTGTCAAAATTGCATAAATTCGAGAAACTTCATAAACCATCACATGTGTCTGTAGCTAATGGTGAAGGTGCTAGGATTGTAGGCAAGGGAAAAATTCACTTGATATCTGATCAAATAGAGTCCATGGCCTTATATGTGCCTTCGTTTCCATTCCAACTTCTCTCAGTAGGGAAAATCACAAATTCCTTAAACTGCTTAGCCATTTTTTCACCAGAAAATGTCATTTTTCAGGATCTTGTCACCAAGAGGAAGATTGGTGAGGGATTTTACCTAGATGGTCTCTATTACATCTCGAAAAGCTTTCCCAGTGGATTACAAGCAAAGTCTATACCCGTACATGTCTCCATTCAAGACCAGTTTTTGTGGCACCAGCGATTAGCACACCCATCTCAACATGTTTTGTCCACATTGTTTCCAGATTTAGACAAAGAACAAATTCATTGTGAAACTTGCCACATGTCAAAGGCAACAAAGCTACCCCTTCGTTCATCTTTGTCTAGAGTTTTTCATCTTTTTGAACTTGTACACTCGGATGTATGGGGACCAACTAGTGAGTCTTTTGATGGTTACAAATATTTCATAACCTTTGTTGATGACTATTCAAGAGCAACTTGGTTATATTTGTTAAAATCAAAGAGTGAAGTGATGGAAGTGTTTAAAGACTTTCATAGTCTTGTTAAAAACCATTTTTCCTCTCAAATCAAAACTCTAAGGTCTGATAATGGCACCGAATACATGTCCCAAGTCATGACTCAATATTTGAGCAACAATGGCATCATGCATCAAACTAGTTGTGTTGGCACACCTCAACAAAATGGTATTGCCGAGAGAAAAAATCGAAATCTCCTTGAAAAAACTAGGTCATTGATGTTTCAAATGAATGTACCTAAACGTTTTTGGTCTCAAAGTGTTATGGCAACCACTTACCTGATCAACAGGTTACCTAGCAGGGTTTTGGGGTTCAAATCACCAATGGAAATTGTAAAGAACAGGAAAATAGACTTGTCACACCTTAAAGTCTTTGGATGCATTTGTTTTGTCCATGTTCAGTCCTTGCATCGAGACAAACTTGACCCGAGAGCAACCAAATGCATTTTCCTTGGTTACTCATCCACACAAAAGGGATACAAATGTTACAATCCACAACTTAAGAGGTTAATTGTTTCCAAGGATGTCAGATTTCATGAAACTAACCCTTATTACAGCCAAGCTCTGGATAGTTCAAGTGAGGGGGAGAATTACTTGGATTTGTTTCCATTGCCAAGAACTAAAATCCTTGCCACTGAAGTACCTGATGCAATGGGGCCTGTTCATCACACAAATGTCCCTACTGAAAATGACAACCAAGCCTCAAGTAATGATACCAACAATTCTGAATCAATCCACAATATTGCTCCTGAGGAATCATCCTACGAGTTGCAATCGACTGCACCTCGACGCAACCCTACTCGTGAAAGACATCCTCCAGCAAGACTGCAAGACTTTGTCACTTACAAACCAAGACATCCACTATCTCACTACGTGTCCTATGACAAAATGTCTCCTAAACACACTGCTTTCCTGTGTACTATATCTGAGCATGTTGAGCCTCAGTCATTCCAAGAAGCAAATCAATCACCAGTTTGGCAGCAAGCCATGCAAGATGAACTGAATGCCCTTGATCAACACAAAACCTGGAGCATTGAGACACTGCCTAAGGGAAAGAAGACAGTAGGTTGCAGGTGGATATACAAGGTTAAATTCAACTCAGATGGATCCATAGAAAGACACAAGGCAAGATTAGTGGCTCGTGGCTTTACTCAAACATTTGATGTGGACTACAAAGAAACATTCGCCCCTGTTGCAAAGATGAACTCTGTAAGAGTACTCCTTTCAGTTGCTGTTAACAAAGGATGGCCTATGTTTCAAATGGACGTAAAGAACGCCTTCTTACATGGTGAGCTTGAAGAAGAAGTCTTCATGAGGTTACCCCCAGGCCATCCTCAAAGTCATGAACCTGATCTTGTGTACAGATTGCACAAATCAATTTATGGTCTTAAACAGTCACCAAGAGCTTGGTATGCCAAGCTAAGTTCAGTCCTCACAACGGTTGGTTTTAAAAGAAGCAATGCAGACTCTTCATTGTTCGTATGCACGGGCACTGCTGGGAAACTGGTTGTTCTTGTCTATGTCGATGATTTAATCATCACAGGAGACAACATGGATAAAATAACTAAGCTTAAGCATTCACTGCAACAGCGTTTGCCATCAAAGATCTTGGCATAATCAGATATTTTCTTGGCATCGAAATGGCTACCTCTCCCAAGGGTTTCTTTCTCAGCCAACGGAAATATGTTCTGGACCTTCTCAAGGAAGCAAACATGAGTGATGCTAAACCTGTCAATACACCTCTTGACACGAAACTCAAACTTAGCTTGGAAGGGCAACCACTGCCCAACATCAGTTATTATCAGCGTCTTGTGGGTAAGCTGATCTACTTGACTATTACAAGGCCTGACATAGCCTATTCAGTAAGCATTGCTAGCCAATTTATGCACTCTCCCACCATGGAGCATTTTAATCTTGTCAAGAGACTACTTCGGTATCTCAAAGGTTCAATAGGTCGTGGCATCATCATGAAAAAGAATGAGAGCACTGAGATCACAGGTTATTGTGATGCTGATTGGGCTGGTAACTCTATTGATCGTAAGTCTACAACGGGGTATTGCACATTTGTGGGAGGCAATCTTGTTACCTGGAAAAGTAAAAAGCAAGCCGTAGTTGCTCGATCCAGCACTAAGGCTGAATATCGCGCCATGGCATCTACTGCCTGTGAACTAATATGGCTGAAAGGTTTGTTGTGCGACTTAGGTGTCTCTACTACTCAGTCCATGTCTCTTTTCTGTGATAACCAAGCGGTAATGCACATTGCGTCCAACCCCGTCTTCCACGAGAGAACCAAGCACATCGAAGTTGATTGTCACTATGTCCGTGCACAGGTATAATCACAGGTCATCAAAACTCATTTTGTCAAGAGCTACGATCAACTCGCAGACCTATTCACTAAACCTTTAGCATCACCTCAGTTTCAGCGGCTTCTCGGCAAGCTTGGATCCATCAACCTCCTGGATCCAGCTTGAGGGGGAGTATTGAAAGTCCTATCTGTGTAATAGGGTTTGTGTCAACCCTAGTAGTGCTTTATCTAGTTGTATAAGTGTCTTATCTGGTTGGCAGCTCCTTAATTCAAGGAGCTTAATTATGTATAAGAGTCTTATCTTGTTGGCAGCTGGTTGGCAGCTGATTGGCAGCTCCTTAATTCAAGGAGCTTAATTATGTTTCCTATGCCGACTTCTCAGCTTGATTCAAGGAAGTTCTATGTTAGAGTCTTGAGTGTTGAGTGTAGTTTGCAACTCACTCAAACTCCTCTATATATTTGTATCATGTTTCTGTTCCTAGTACGAGAACAAAATACAAAATACACAAACTTCAAAAATTAACACTGAGTTTGTCAAATAATATTGTGGTTATACAGATTTGATTTCTTCCAATTGTAATCTTAATTATTCATGTTCTTCACTATCTTGGTTAATTTCCAATATCATACTTGGAATCTCAACTCAACATTCCAAATTGAGGAGGAGTAAACATATAGAATATTTGCGTTTAGCTTATTCTCTATTCTTTAAGTTTGATATACATTTTAAAAAGTGGGTTGAAAAACATAAGTAAAATCATGCGTGGTAGTTCCCTTCTAACTCTAAGCATCAATATTAGCATGGATGTTGGCAATGGCCATAGCTCAAGTCGTGGCTTGAACGAAGAGGTGAATAAAATGAGAGAGGAGTGGATAAATAAAGAAGAAGAACACAGGAAGGCTGTGGACTTGGTTTAGTAAGATTATGCTGCCAAGCTTGATGATTTAGGGGCTCAAATTTGGTCAGTTTTAATATCAAATTAGCCTTCAAAAAAAAAAAATAAAGAAGAAATATTGAATATGTGTTGCTAGGTTTATTTTCTAGTTTTCCTTTTTTTTTTTCCTTGCAAGATTGATTTGGAACATTATGTTTAGCTTCACTTTGTTTATGGTTTTCTCTTTCAAGACTAATAATATTGACCTCTCCATTATCCCATGGAAATAAAATTTGGGAGGATCAAGGAATGAATAAAGATTGAATTGTTAGGTCATTTGTCTTATTTATTTGTTAATTTTATACTCATAACAACATTTGAACAAGTTTAAGTTTTTTCCTTAATCACGGTAGAAATTGCTATTTTTTTTTTGTAGCTAACTATGATCTCCATGCTTATTGTTCTACGTGGGCTGTTACAAAACACTCTAGAGAGTGAGCCAATTTTATTCGACCTTGGATTGGTTAAGAGAAGAAGAGCATGTGTTTTTCACAATAATCAAATTTCATTGAACTTGGGGAAATACTATTTGACCAACTAGGATTTTAGTTTGTTTGTAACTTAAGTTAAAATTGTAGTGACATTATTAATGTCTATAACCAGTGAATAACAATGGTAAACGGCTAACACGATACATCTTTAAAGGCGTGCAGCCCCCGTGATTAAAAAACAAAAAGCCCCTTCGCACACGTGTGGAGAGGCTAGTTTATAATAAAATTCTCATTCCACGTTGTCATTGTGGTTGGTGTGGAAGATGAGACAGCTCCCCACTAATTAGTTGAAATCCACTTAATTAATTTAATTTCATCCAGTTTAGATTTCCTATCACTGAATTGGTGCCTCACCTACTAATTCCTTTTTGAAAAAACAAATTAAACATCAAATAAAACTTCAAATAATAAAAATTGGCCAAGCAGAATTGTAACGTCGTTGGTAAATATTTCCTTCAAAGTCATACTAATCATCGTGCTTATACGGTGATACGGTATCTTAATCACAAGAGATCTTTTATTATATTTGAAATACGAGCATATACACCATATATCATACAAATGAAAGGACATTTGAAAAAAAAAAAAAACATTTTCTCTACTTACATAACAACATATGTCATATCACCCCGTTTCAAAGAACTCATCCCAACTACTTTAGCCAGGCTTTTCCAATGAGCCAGTGCTCGTAATCACAACTAGGAAAAAACATGGTCATCTTAGTGGACGGATGGTCGCTGAAGTTCGAACAGAGTTGAGGGGTGAGTAAGAATCGCAGACTGATTGACCCGACAACAGGTGTAGGGCAAAGCTGGGATGCCGGCAGCATAGACTGGAGGGAAAAGCCGCCGAGTTGTACTGAGACTGGTGCAGCCGAGGGAAACCAACCACATAATATAACCATACGTTCCTCTTCTGTCTAAGCTTAAAGATTGTTCATCTCAGACGTGAAAATTCCTCATCTATTAAAATCCTAGCAAACCTTAACATTCTCACTACATTTATTCATGTGTAGATTTTTTAATGAGAATTTTAATGAAAAGCTTATGGTACTGTTTATTTTAACAAAAAATCACATTTTTATACTAAAAAGTCATTCCTGATATTATTTACTTTACATTTTATTTTATCTTTATCATTAAAATTTAAAATTTTCAAACCATTTTTATTAGTTGCCTTCTTTTAATTTTAATTTTTTATCCTTGCATTTAGATGTATTAAATCATCTTAAATCTTAACTTGCCTACACACATTCACAATTCTCTTTTAGAATCCAACTTCACTCCACTTTGATTTTAGAAAGCAATTTTTGAAATGTGAGACTGATAAATAATGGAATTTTAACAAAGTCGTAAACGATTTTTTATTCAAAGTAAAATTTTCACAGATGACTGACAAATTACTAACTGCAACCTGGTTAGCAGGCTCAGTTCGTCATGGAACAGATTGAAAGGTAGCTCCTGAGTCAGTGAGACTGCAGATCCAAAAAGCGATCGCATTCCGCCAAGTTCATCAGCCAATGGATCGGGTCATCAAAGCTGCCAGAAGCTCCGGTTCTCTCAACCTCTCAAATCGCTCTCTGAGGTAACATTTCGAACGATCCGCAGTTACAGAAGACACAAAATATCATCCATCTCCACCCCCATTATCTTTGCTCCCAATTATTATCTTCTGCAATAATTCAAATTTCCATCACATTAGATTCATTGGATTCATATGGGAACTGGGTTTTTTTTTATTGTCAGGGAAGTGCCAGATGAGGTATATAAGAGTACGAGTGCAGTTGGGGACGATGAGAAATGGTGGGAGGTAATTAAATTTGTTTAATTTCTTTCTCTGAATCGTGAAATGGCCGTTTTGAATTCGCAAAGTTTGATTCTTTTCGATCGGAATTAGAGTAATGGACCCATTTGCTTGATTTCAGGCTGTGGAGCTACAGAAGCTCATTATAGCTCATAACAATATTGAATTACTGAAAGATGAGCTCAGAAATTTGCCTCTGTTAACTGTGTTGAATGTCAGCCACAACAAGCTTTCCGAACTTCCGGCTGCGATTGGGGAGTGAGTTTTGTTTGGAGTAATTTGTAGTAGTATGTGTTGTTGGTTTTGTGTTTTGTTGAAATCTCTATCCCATTTGGCAGGCTTACCATGCTGAAATCGTTAGATGTATCGTTCAACTCAATTCAGCGACTGCCCGAGGAAATTGGGTCAGCAATTTCCCTTGTCAAGTACGGTTTTCTTCTTCTCCAATCCCTACATTTTTTTTTAACACATGAAAAAACTACCAATATGTCTAATTGATTCTAAAACAAATGAGAAAGAAAGAAAGATTCAAATGGCTTTGTGTGCATGATTATGTTGTTGGTAGTTTTATGGATAGCATCCAACCAATTGAAGCTAGCTATCCTCTCTCTCTCTCTCTACATATATATACATATGTGTGTGTGTGTGTGTGTGTGTGTGTGTGCTTATCGTTATTTTTCATCAAATTAGGTTCTGCACCTATCACTATCTACTATGGCCACTTCTGGCCTTCAAGTACCATAAACCTAAAAGAAGCTGCTTTTTATTATAAATGGATTTCTTGGTCCTTGTTTGACTAGTATTGCCATAAATGCATATCAGGCTCTTGTAATTTTTATTTTTTAAAGTAAAAAATGAATATGAAATAGCCAATTATTGAAATGGAAAAAGTGAAAGAAAATCTGAAACCATTTAACCAAAGGATTTCCACCGTTCTCTAGTGGAGTGTTAAAACTGTTAAGTCCTCAATGTCGATGGTAGCATAATTACATGAAGGACATTTGATTTTTAAAATAAAGTGTCCAACTTTATTTTGATTGAAGGATATTTTTTGTGCAATTGAAACCTAGTATTTTTAAATCCACGATTATTTTTTCTGAACTTGCCTATTTTAAGTAATTCCTCATAATCAGAGAAATTTTTTGGCTGATTTTAGGATGAAATGAAACCATAACAAAAGTACGATTGTTCATCTGTTGTAACGAGCTGTCTCAATTTCCAACACTAAACTAATTGTACGAAGAGGTCATATAACATATTATTTATCTTGCATCCAATTTCCTGATTATGGTATCATTACTCTTAGTAATAACTTCAGAGTGGAACCTATCAGAAGTTTTAGGTTAATCAAGTTGTTGTGTGATCCTTCCAGATTTGATTGTTCGAACAATCAGCTGAGAGAACTCCCAAGCTCACTTGGAAGATGCTCAGATCTATCAGAATTCAAGGTAATTGCTTGAATTAGGTTGATTATTATGTGGTGGCGTAGCCATGTTGCGGGTAAAATTTGACACAGCATGTCCCACAGCCTTGTCCACAATCTTGTGGTGTGGTTGTTTAACTTTATGCCCTTTGCCCGAATCTATATGCATGTGACTGAATTTTATACGTTTTTGTATTTGTTTCATTTTATTATTCTATAAACTAGATGCCTTCAGTATGGAAGGATAATTTCATTTGTTTTTTAACATCATATCCGATTCTGATATAAAGTAAGTTATATGGTAATCTTTTTTCAGGTGTCAAATAATATTATAATCAGCTTGCCAGAAGATCTGGCGAACTGTTCAAAATTGATGAAATTAGACATGGAGGTATGAGCAAGATTGTAACTTTAGCTCCTGGGGATGATGACTTAATGCCTTTTTCTTATTTTTTTGTTCTTTTATGTAATCATTAGTAATTTGGTATTTGATAAACTTTAGGACCTAAAATGCGAAATTGTATCATCTGCCTGTGCCAGGGTAACAAGCTAACAATCTTATCCGAGAAATTGGTTGGATCGTGGACCAAGCTTACAGAACTCAATGCATGTAAATATTTACAGATTTGCTAATTCAGTGCTTACTTCTTGTTGCACATCTTTGGATATGTTGAAAAATTGTTTGTTATTGGAACCTATGCAGCTAAAAATCTGCTGGGTGGAATACCAGAGAATATTGGAGGTCTTTCTCGTCTCATTCGTCTTGACCTTCATCAGAACAGTGAGTCATTTTTTAATGGACGTACCATAAAGATTCATTTTTTGGCATGATATGGCCAATCTGTTCACCTTTTTTTTTTTTTTATAAGTTGTGAATGTTTACGAATTTTGCAGAAATTTCATCAATCCCAGTTTCAATCATGGGCTGCTCTTCTCTTGCGGAGATCTATATGGGGTAGCAGTAACATGATCCTTTTAATTTTTTGAGGATATGGAGTTTATAGATAACTTTTGCAGTAACTTAGTGCGACCCCACTTAGTGGGAAAAGGCTTTGTTGTTGTTGTTATGGAGTTTATAGATAACTTTTGCATCTTTTGAGATTTACTTGCACTTATACATCAAATTTTAGGAACAATGCATTGTCTACCTTACCGGCTGAGATGAGCGCACTTTCTCATCTAGGAACTTTAGATCTTCAATCCAACCAGGTAGGTAGAATTTCATTTTTATCTTTTTTCAGAAATGTGAAGATTGTCTTTCTTAAAACAATTGATGCCCACAAGACGTGTTTATAAATGATTTTCTTGCATCTCTCTATAATTAATGTTTTGTTGAGTTACTTGTATGAGTCTATTCAGAAGTGATCATTTTAATAGCCATCCTTTCTTTTTAGATCACACTAATTTTGCAGAAACTAAGATCTGAATACATTTTTCAGCACATGTACATGGCAATATTTTGGAATGTTTTAATCACCTGTACTACAAAGGTACCAAGGTGAGATGAGACTATTCTAACACTCCCCCTTAGTGCCAGAATTGGAGACTTGACTCTCCCCCTTCACGCTGCGTAGGAGATACAAACCCGACCGATCCATGAGGCACACCTTATCTAATACCATGTAAAATTTGCGGGTCAAACTTATCCTTAAAATCGGCATACTAGGAAAGGATGCCCATGGTTTAATATACCATCCATCTTAGGCAGTGTGGAACAGTGCTACAATCACAGACAATGACAACTTAAATCCACTTAGGCATGTTTACAGATGAGGTAAAAACTCAGTGATTATTGGTTTCTGATGCAAGAGAAATAATCTCATCATATCAGAAACTACTCAATAGGAGGGGGGGGGGGGGGGGGGGGGGGAGGGGGGAGATGATATGGATAACCCTAGCTAAGTTAGTAGAGAGACTAATTAAGATCCTAAGTAAGCTGGAATTGACTGAAGGTGACTTCAGTAATTTTCAAAAGGCAATTCGAATTAATAATGGGATCTCCTTTGGGTGCTTGACACTCCAACCTACTCCACGATTCTTCTGTTGCATGTTCTGCATCATCTTTGGATAACAAATTTTGAATTCTGTGCTAACTACTTCATGCAGTTAAAGGAGTATCCAGTGGAGGCATGTAAATTGCGTCTTTCTTTGTTGAATCTCTCAAACAATTCATTGTCTGGATTGCCCCCAGAATTGGGTAAGGTTAACAATTCATACCATTTAATCCCGTATGACTTGTGATGCTGTAAAAAAAGTCTCTTGGTAATTTCACTTTGGAAGTTATGAAGGGATCAGAATTCTACTTTTGTTGACGCAATTTACAGTTGGTTAAAAGAATTGATATTTTTGATAATCATATAAGAAAGAAAGTGGTACTTCTCATACCTTTGCCAAACATATTAGACTATGCCAAAAATTGGGGCTAATTCTTTTTGGTAAAGAAATCTTAGAATACTAAAGTGGCACAAGTTAGAGTGCACTAGTCTTAACTATATTTGCACGTCTGGCAGAGTGGGGGTGGGCGGATGGGATAATGAAATGATGAAGTTTAGTTACATATAACTCAGGAAACTCTAATGCTAGTGGGATGGCGGAGGGTGGGCAAATAGAATGATGAGTAAACCTTGGATGTTTATGTATATTATACTCAGAAAAACTCTACTACCTACCTTCTGTTATCTTTAAATCCAATTTTGCTATTCTTATGGTTAACTGATGAAAATTATTCATTGTTTAGGAAAGATGACTACGCTGCGGAAACTTTTGCTCACCGGAAATCCAATACGAACTCTTCGTAGGTGAGGCATCTTCAATCTTGGCCCATATCATTTTGTGCTTCTGTTAAGTAAGTGTTATCCAACAGATTTTTTCCTCTCCCAGCACATTGGTTTCAGGATCAACTCCTACTCTACTGAAGTATCTTCGAAGTAGACTTTCTGAGAATGAAGGTATGTTCATTTGAAAACACATGCATGACCATTTTCTTTTCTTTTTTTGCCTCTCAAACATGCTAATTTTACAATTTTTTTCCTTTCTAAAAGGGATTATAGACTAGTTTTACTGGTTGAATGTATGAAACTTGGAAAGAATTAAACATCCTAATTCTAATTTGACAACTAATAATAAGCATTCAATTCTGGAAGTATATCACATAGAAATCTACAACATTGTATGAGTTCCAAAAATTCGCCACCATGATTTACAGTATTCAACCAACTTTTGTCTTTTAAGTAAATTTAATTCAAGATTTGTGATATAGATGCTGAAGGTACAAGTACAAGAAAAGAGGACGTGATTGCCATGGCAGCTCGACTATCTATCGCTTCAAAGGTGCTGTTTTTTTATTTTTTCTAAGATAAGCTTTTTTACGAATGATCATTTTATAGCTTGATTTGCTGTCCATGTCCACCCTTTTTCCCTTTGATATTTGTATTGGTTGTTCTAGATGTCTAGTATAGAGCTCAGATTCACCCTTCTTTGTAATCTTTCTTTCTGATGCTGGAATGTTGCACTTCAAAATGGTTTTACTTTCAGGAACTTTCGATGGAAGGGGTGGGTTTGAGTGCTGTCCCATCAGAGGTATGGGAGTCGACTGAGCTCATGAAGGTTGATCTTTCTAGGAATTCCATCCAAGAGCTCCCAGTTGAACTTTCATCATGTATCAACCTTCAGGTAAAGTATCTTTATACTTATCGTGTCTTTATACTTATCGCTTGCCTGCTTGTGAGGGAATGATTGATGAAGTTCATAAAGTGAAGTGCATGTATACTGGTAAGTTTTTCCCTGACTTAGAGATACTACTAGTTACAATTATTTTGTGGCTTGACTTCTGAAGCTTTATCCATTGTCTAGGTGTAAGGCTAAATGGTGGAAAAGGTTAAGCGATAGCTTAGGAAGATGCAAATGGTTTAAATTGAAATCGTGAAGAAAACTAAGCTTTGGGCCACTGTTCCGGGGATGTGAAAAATATCTTGAGAGTAATAGATAGGCTGTTTAGGGAACTCTAAATTGGGATAAGAGGGATAGGGTTTGGTTGCAAAAGTTTCAGAGTATACAAAAAATTATAGTGAGCAACTGATAGATCTTCGTATTAGTTGAACTCCAGTTGCTTGATGTATACAAATGTGGTTATGCAGGCCTCCATAATTTGATATTTGTTTCTCCTTTCTAAGTACTTTATCTTTGTGTGAATAGTAATTGATCATACAACTTGCTTTTTTTTTTTTAAATCTGCATTGTAAGTCATCCTTATATTTGTCCAAATGTGCAGACATTAATTTTATCCAGGAACAAGATTACAGACTGGCCAGGTGCAATTTTACAGTCGCTTCCTAATCTTTTGTGTTTGAAGCTGGACAATAATCCCCTAAGACAGGTAAATACATGTAGCTGGTCCAATCGTCATTTTCTTGTCTTGTCAATATATTTTCATGAGTTACTAGAGTTTTAGTAAACAAAGAAGGGATGTGGTTCATGACAAATACAATTCTCGCGACAAACCTTTTTATACCATGATATATAATATGACCAATGTATTCCAAAATCTTAATCTGTCAAGTAATGGGTCAAACATTGTATATCAAACGAAAAGATGTGAGTACCCTCCTTATTTCTTGACTTGTAGATTCCACCAGATGGATTTCAAGCAGCCCCTATGCTTCAGATTCTAGATCTAAGTGGTAACGTGGCTTCATTGCCAGAGCATCCTGCATTTTCTAGCTTACCACATTTGCAGGAGCTTTACCTGAGGTTAGTGAACTTATGACACACACACACTCACACATAGAGATAATATATGAATGTGTTGCGTGCTTGTAGATATTGAAGTTCCTAATAACATACACTGCTGTTTGCATACATCTATTTTCGTTGTTTCTGTTTTAGGCTAAGCTACATCTTTTTTCACTTGATAGACGAATGCAGCTGAGAGAAGTTCCATCGGAAGTCTTGAGTTTGCAGCAACTGCGGATCCTTGACTTAAGCCAAAATTCCCTCCAATCGGTTCCAGTGGTAATATATTCCTTGCCTAAGAAACAAATATACATGTAATATCTCGAAATTTAAAAGTGTGTAAGCAGACTGCTGTAGAGGTTTTATGATATTAGTGGTAGATACTTTATGAGTTTAAAGGGGGGTCATAATTTCATGAGGCGATAGGAGGGAGGGTTGGATTTATCCCTTTGCATAAAATTTCTTTAAAAGAACTTGAAAGCAAATAAAAGAGAAAAAAAGCTAATTGTTGTAACCATGCCTGCTAGTCTTGGAGGCACCCTGAGAGGAATAGCTGTGGCTGTCATTAGGGCATATAGTACAAATTAAGTTTTTATGTACAAATTAGTATTTATAAAATAGGAATAAGAACTTGTTAAACGATGAAATATTATTGTATACAAAAAAAAGAACAATCATTCTTTAGAACTTAAATTTTAATAAACGGAGGTATTCTTAAAATGACATCTCTAACTTTAGGTCATTTTCTTGTCCCAAGAGCCTTTGTTCATGTGGCACTGTGAGTAGTTGGGTAAAAGTTTAGGTCCTAGGTTCAAGTCTCATCTGATAAAAGAAAAAGCTGTATTTTTATTCACCTAATGTATTTCCATATTTCACGTCGCATATAGTACAAATTAAGTTTTTATGCACTTCAGAAAAAATGGACACCTCAAAATCCTGGGGCTCGCCTTTGGCAGTCCAAGGAAATGCTCTAAATGTCAGATTTTGGTTCTCAGTTCATATATCATGTCCTTCAAAGAACTTCTTTCCTTCTTGTGGTACGTTAATTGTGATCTGAATTCTTGATTATCCCTGTTAATATTGGTGTGCAGGAGTTCAAAAATCTTACTTCACTCACTGAGCTGGGCCTATCTGACAATAACATATCGACGCTTCCCCCGGAGTTGGTCAGTACATGAAGATCTTTCACAAATGTTTTGATTTCTTAGGTTGTGACAACTGACTTCTTGATTATAGAGAACAAAAGATTCTGTAGACTCATATGATTGACTATATAAAAAGATCGGATATAGAGCTTTACCCAACTTGCAGGGAGATTTCTCATTTCGAGCCCTGGTCGCAATGATGTAAACATTGCACCAGAACTTATGTTACTAGAAGTATGGTCCTGCAATGGTTGGGGTCGGTCCTGATGAAAGTAACTAAAAGATAATTGATTGAATTGTTTCTTTTGTAGCTAAGATTTTCTTCATTAATGGATTGCCTTACGTCTTCCCTAAGCTGTCTACTAGCTCACATAATGTATTTGATTTATTCTAATCTAAAGCGTTCCTTTGATCAGGGGTTGCTTGAGCCTAGCTTACAAGCCTTGAGACTTGATGGGAATCCATTAAGAAGGTATGCTACTTTTTCCTCATTTCCTATTAGTTTCTGGAGGGTTTGATGTCATTCCGTATTTTTGTGGTGTTGAACTTAAATAGTACAAAATTTTGCTGCGCATATAAAAGAAAAGGACTCGGAGATAAGTTTTAGGTCAGTCAAGTTACTTTAGGATTGTCGCTGGCTCAATGCCTAGCTCCTTAATTATCTGGGAAATGCGGTTAAGTATGTATGGAAATCACCTGTGTGTGGCCTGATCTACAGTGGACAAAAATGCAAGGCAACAGTACATCTATTAGCCTAAGACAGCTGGAGGCGTGATCCCATGCTCAAAATATGTCTGCTTGAGTTCTTACAATGATGCAACCTGGATAGTCTCTTGCTATCAATTTCTTTATTTCATTAGGAAGTTGAAATTTTCTTCTAAGAAGAAAAAAGATATTAACAGTAAAAATGTCAGCGAGGCAATACATTCCGTCCAATTGCGTGCTAATCAGTCGGGCTCCTACTGAAACGTCAATCCATTGATTATAGAATGATACCTGTTGAATATACTTCATTTCAACGATTAACGGAGTTCTAAATTCCTTGCTGTTCCTATGCATCATTGGCCCTTCTCATGTTATTCATATGTACTTGAACAGCATCCGGAGGACGGTTTTAGATAGAGGAACCAAAGCTGTTCTGCAATATCTCAAGGACAAAATTGTTGAAGACTAGCATCTTTTGCATTCGCTCCCTTCTTGTCCAGATTCGTTCCACTCTTTTCATGTGACCAAGATCTTGATCTGAAGACCGCAACACTTGTACTGCTCGGTGTATCGCAGCTTTGTATCATTTGAGTGTATGATTAGTATTCTTCACTTTCGGATGCCCGCCAAATTAAATTCCAGATCAATTGTATGTTTGTTTGTTTGTTTGTTTTTTGGGTGTTGTCGTTGGAGCTTTCGTTGGACCTTGACTTGTGGGTGCATGTGAATTTTACCAATACACACATTTTAATTTTTACAGATAAATAATATTATTGACAGCGGAGTATATATTTTGCCTGTTCTTGTAGCACGGACTCGCACGACAACTTAACTTGATGTTAAGACGGAATATAGAGAAATGGGTACTTTGACATGCTAAGGAATTTTCAATGTGACGGGATTTAAAGAGGGAATTTAGGTGTTAAGGAAAGTGATTTTACTTTGAATTTTGGTGATTTTCAAGTTAATGTCATGGAAAAATAGGTGACCATCTTTTGTATATTTTGAAGCGTAGTACAACTCACATACCTCTTTTCACCTTTCACTCTTTTTAATTTTTGTCTATTAATTTTCTTTAATTTATTCGATTCAACGATCGTAAATTGATGCGTGAGAGGTAAAATAAGTGTGGATAGCACTATCCTCAAAGTTGTTATTCCAACTTTGAAATTGCACTATCCTCTAAGTTGTTATTCTAGCTTTGACATTTATGAACATCGGCTGAAGCTCAAGCTCTTCGGGATGCTTTGCTCTTGGCCAATCAACGTTAAATCAGGAAAATTGTGGTGGAAGGCGACTCGAAGATTGTTATTGATGCAGCTTCGGAAAAATATGCGGTATCGTGGATTTGGTGAAATGGAATCAAGTCTTTAGAGAAGCAAACTTCATAGTAGATGCTATTATAGTCCTTGAGCATAATTGTACTAATTTATATGTTTGGGATGGGTATGTTCTTGCCCAAGCAAAAAACGCTCTTTTGTATGACTCTCGAGACCTTGAGTGTTACTGAGGATTCTCCTTAAATTAATCTCCTTCTTCCTAAAATAAAAAAATAAAATAAAATAAAATTGAAAAAAAAGGGAATTTCACAATAACACGGGTAAAAGTAAAAGTTAACACAGTAAAATTGTGACTCACTCTGGCCTATGGGCTTGAAAACTGAGTAGGAGAACAGAGAGAGAGAAAGAGAGGAGAGAGAGAACCACCACCGCCGCAATGGTTTTGCAAGTCACCGTCGAGCCCGAACGCACCCACGCCTTCACTGTTCGCATGGACTCCCACCGCATCCTGACCGTCGTCACCTACGACCCCTCCGTCATCACAGAGTGGCTAAAGTAAGTCCTCAAGTCCCCCAACACCAAAAATGGCATCGTCCTCGCCGATTTCAAGGCGGAGGACGATTACACCAGTAGCTTGGGACTCAAGGAATATCCGTACCAACTCCTCACCCTCAACATTGGGTCCCACACCCTCATCTACCACCTCCATTTCACCTGGAACCACAACAAGGTCACACCGCGGTCCCTCATCTTCTTCTTCCAAGACCCTAGGGTTTTCATAGTTGGCCGCGACATGGCCACCGTCTCACGGAGGCTCAAAGCTCACAACCAGATCGAGATCAGGAACACCGTCGACCTCAACGAGCTAGCGGTCAAGAGGATGAAGAGAGACGACCTTGATCTCGGGCGGCTAACGAAGGCTGTGCTTGGGAACGAAGGCTGTGCTTGGGAAGGAAGTGGATGTGATTTGGCTTGAGAAGGAGGTCGAGTGGTTTGGCTATCAATATCGGTGGGAACTCAGAGCTGAGAAGGTCAAGTTCTCCACAGTCGACTCATATATGTGCTTCTTGATCGCTTCGGAGCTGATCCACGCCATTGATTTCAATGTTGCTGGTGTTAAGAAGAAAAAGAAGAAAGGTAAGAAGTAAATCCGCATTGCGATTTGTGCGTGATGATTTGACCATACATATGGATTATCTCTCAGTTGATTTCGGTTTTAGTAGTCTGACCAAATCTGTGTCGTTTGGTTATTTTAGTTTGCATTTTATAGTTTTACATTGCTGATTGATGAGATGGTGCTGAAATTTGTTGAAACAAATCTCAGCTCAACCAACTACTAGCGTAGTAGGTGTAAACTTTTAACAAAAGGTATAATCCATCCTAGTTTCTTTACCTAGGATAAATCCTGCATTAAAAGAATTTAAAGTAAATTTTTTTTTTCCTTTAAAAAAAAAAAAAAAGAATTATAAGGTAAAAAAAAAAAAAAAAAAAAAAAAAAAAAACCCTTAAGAAGTCCTCCCGCGGCTGGGCTGCAATTGCAGGTGGAATGCAGAATGTGAATACTTTATTAAGCACGATTCCAAGCTGATGATCGACCCCAATTGACAATTCGAAGTCATCCATCCTTCATTGATATATATGCCAAGAGAAACATAAACAATATTGTATAAGTACAAATTAGTCTAGTTTTTTTTTTTTTTTTTTAAGATTAATTATAGAGAGAAACAAATGCATTTAGTACTCACCAATCAGCAGCCGATCCTGCTTTGACAGAATTAAGCCCCTGATCATATCCGTTTTGTGATGTCTAAACCTTGTTCATCAGTGGCTCCGCGCTTCTTGGGTTCCATCCAAGGACTAGGAATCCATCAGGTTTCGTAGTTCGACGCATGTAAATGGTTTGGCACACCCACTGCACGGTGATGCTAATCCCAAACAGACAGGCAAAAGTGACATGATCTTTCAGGTATAGCATCATATCCATGTAGGAGCCCATGTCATCGGAAGTGACCAGATAAATATTTGGAACGGTAGGAATGGTAAACAGTTTATTCTCCGTACTGGAGATCACATATCCATATGGATTGGTGGTTCTTGAATCAACCACTACAAAGATGTAGTTTCCCACGAGTATGCAAAATTTAACATTCTATGAGAACCTTCCGGATAGACTGAAACAATATGAGCACAATTCCTAAATAAAAACCCATCAATCTTTAAACATTCCATATAAACTCAAAATTCAATGGAAATAAAAAGTAACCTATTAAATCAGATAATTTATAACATATGCCACAGCCCTTCTATTGTTTTCTCACCTTCACTAGTTTATGTTTTATTAATATATTTGTCTTGGTGTGTCAATTTCCTTAGGCAACAAGTAGTAGTGCGTACTAAGCACTCTTTCAAGCTGGACGTATGAAGCTTAGGTGATAATTAAACGCTAAGTGCATGCAATTAGTACAAACCAGCAGTGTTATTAAGAACCCTATCATATAATTATTGCTTAAGCATAAGTCCAAATCCACAGGAAGCGTGTTATACGCTAAATGCATTTGCTAGGAAATTAATAAACCCCTTGTATGAACATTTTTTTGTCCATTAACGGTCTGAACTTTTTCATTTATTTTTCAGTTTTTAATTTGAAATTTGGGCGCTCAATTATTCAAAAACATCCGAATAAAATATAATAGGTACATTCAAAGTGTTGTATAAGGTAAAATGTACTAATCATCTTCGTGTCATACTGGGATTCACCATCAATGTGGCCTTAGTTGTAACTTATACGACTATAGTTCTCTACCTAACCAACTACTAGCCTAGTCGGTGTGAAACTTTAATAAACATACTACTAGCCTAGTCGGTGTGAAACTTTGAAACTTTAATAAACATACTACTAGCCTAGTTGGTGTGAAACTTTAATAAACATAAAATAACATGTGTGCGTTCTCAACTTAATCAACTACTAGCCTAGTCCGTGTGAAATTTTAACAACCATTAAATAACATGCACGCCTCAGTTGTAATCTAATGAACTTAAACATAATTATAATTCTCAACTTAACCAACTACTAGCCTAGTTGTGGTATGAAATTTAAACAATCGTAAAAGAACATACGTTCCTTATTTGTAATCCAATGAACTTAAACATAATTATAGTTCTCCACCTAATACAAAGGGTACACAACAAACTAATCTATAAAGCTGGAATACCAGAGGTCCATCCCGGTCTCTCTACCTAATCTATATCCTGCATTAAAAAAAATTAAAGTAAATTTTTTTTCCCTTCTTTAAAAAAAAATAAAGAAAAGAATTATAAGTTAATAAAAATTACCCTTTAGAAGTCCTCATGCGTTAGTGTCAACAATTGTAGGCCGAAAGTAGAAGGAGAATACTTCATTAAGTACAGTTCCGAGTTGATGAACGACCCCGGTGCAAAATACAAAGTTACCAATTCTTATATACCAACAGATACATAGTTTGTTTTATAAAATAAATAAAAAGATTAATTAGGAAGAAAAACTATTGCATTTGGTATACTCACAAATTGGCAACTGATCCTACCTTGAGAGGATTCAACCCCTGATCATATTTTCCTAGTGTTGTCTCAACACGACCACAACACTTTGCGGTTCCATCCAAGGACTAGGAATTCAGCTTGTTTCGGAGTTTCACAGAAGTAAATACTTTGGGAAACCCACTGCACCGTGATGGCCACCCCATCCAAAATAGCCAAATTGATCCATATATTTCTCTGCCGTATATAAGCTTCATACATCTAGCCTGAAATAATAGGTTATTTTATTTCCATTGAAGTTTGAGTTTAGTTGGAATGTTTAAAGATTGGTTGGTTCTTATTTAGGAATTGTACTCATATTGTTTCAGAGTATCCAAAGGGTGCCCACGGCACTCTAAATTTTGCATACTTCTGGAGAAAATTTTATTTTCGTGGTGGTTGACTCAAGAATAACCAAACCAAATGGGTTCGTGCTCTCTAATACGAAGACAAAGTTGTATGGGCTTACTAACGCTCCAAATATCTATCTATCTATCTATCTAGCCACCTTCGGGAATGTGAGCACCTACATAGATGTGATGCTTTTTGACAAGCGGGCCTTGCCGATGTCGCTTGATAGTTGGGTTTTTTGGAATTCTTTCGGGTTTTCGGGTTGAAGGTTGGGGGTTTGAAGTGGATTTTGGAGGTGGTGGGAGAGGTCTGAAGATGGGAGAGAGGAGAGGAGAGGAGAAGAAGCAGCGCCCTTTCTTGAAGCTGATTAAAACAATTGAAAGAGAGGTGTTTACCAGAAAGTATAGAGAGAGGCGCACGATTTGGTGCGATATTCAAAAATATAACAGGTAAAATATTTCACAAACAAATGGCATCCAACTAGGACACATTGACAAGCCAAATGTTTTATAGTCGATGGCAGACTTCAAAAATATTCAAAACATGATAGAAACAATATTAAAAAATATAACAGGTACAATATTTCACGAACAAATGTTTTAAAATATAATAGAAACAATATTCGACCCCCAACACCATCTTCAATAGTTGGGCTAAAAGATAAATTTTTTAGCTCGAAAAATTTAGCTTTTAGCCCAGAAACAATTTTTTTGCTCCAGCCATTCTAGCATAAAATTTTAGCCCGGAATTATTAAAGAATAAATTTAGGCTATTTTTTTTTTGTTAAATTAAATTTTAAAAAAAAATAGATATGTAGATTATCGTAAATTAATTTTATGAACATTTTAATTTAAAAAAAATTTAAATTCCAATAAATATTGGGTGGAATCCACTCCGATTTCTAGGCTAAATTTTGGGGGGAATTTGGTATTGATTTAACATTTAGCATTTAGCCCAAAATTTTCCCTTAGGTTGGAGTGGGTTTGTGTCACATCCCGGCCCGGGGGCGAATCACTTCCCGGGCCCGCTCCACCACCGTAGCACGATATTGTCCGCTTTGGGCTTACCATTCCCTCACGGTTTTGTTTTTGGGAACTCACGAGCAACTTCCCAGTGGGTCACCCATCATGGGATTGCTCTAGCCCTCTTCTCGCTTAACTTCGGAGTTCCTACGGAACCCGAAGCCAGTGAGCTCTCAAAAGGCCTCGTGCTAGGTAGAGATGATAATATACATATAAGGATCAGTCCCCTGGGCGATGTGGGATGTCACAATCCACCCCCCTTAGGGGCCCGACGTCCTCGTCGGCACATTTCCGGCCAGGGATTGGCTCTGATACCAATTTGTCACATCCCGGCCCGAGGCGGATCACTTCTCGGGCCCGCTCCACCACTGTAGCACGATATTGTCCGCTTTGGGCTTACCATTCCCTCACGGTTTTGTTTTTGGGAACTCACGAGCAACTTCCCAGTGGGTCACCCATCATGAAATTGCTCTAGCCCTCTTCTCGCTTAACTTCGGAGTTCCTACGGAACCCGAAGCCAGTGAGCTCCCAAAAGGTCTCGTGCTAGGTAGAGATGATAATATACATATAAGGATCAGTCCCCTGGACGATGTGGGATGTCACAGTTTGGGGGAAAATTTTGGGGGACTAATTTGGCTTTTAGCCCACCATTGAAGTTGGTATAAGGAGGATGAAAATGAAAATGGCTTTGACCCACCAAACGACCCCAAACCAGATCTGGGCGCACAAGTGGAAAGTTCCCCAGAAAAGTCGATGGCAGACTTCGATTTGAGAACCTTAGCACCAGGAAAGAATGGCAGAAGTGTCTCCGACCCGCCAACAGCCCCAAAACCAAAAACAAAACCCCGAATCGGACCCAAATTAAAGAGAAAACCTTGATAAGGGCACCAAACGGATATGGGATGGAGGCCCAACGCCCAAAGCAGCGCACAAAACGTTAAGGGAGGGAGGAGAGAGCAGTGCCTACATGGTGGAAGAGAAGGGAAAGAAACGTGGATGGGGGAAGGAAAAACGGTGAAGAAAAAACGCAGAGAGAAAAATGGGCAGTGGAGCAGAAGGAGCAAAAGGAAAAACAAAGTGAAGAAAGGAAGGAGAGGGAAGCTAGGAGGGGAGATAGGGATGTGCTTTCGTAATTAGAATTATATGCCTTATTTTAGATTTTTTTAATTAAATATTTGTTATTTTTTAATTTTTGATTAATGTTTTTACTTTTAGTTAAACTTTATATTTCAGATATATTCTTAATTTAAGTATTTTATAAATTCTTTTAAATCTATTTTTATGTAAAAAAAATGCACTCAATAATATTCATTAATTTATTGTTATTTTTATGGAATCTCATCCCCTCCTCAATTTAAGGATTCAATTATATTTACTGAGATTCAAGATTAATTGAATGAAATATAGTTTTTTCAATTTCCAACTCAACATTTTATATAGATTATAAAAAAAAAAACAATATAAATGGTCTTCACAAATCAAGTCAAGTCTTTATGTAGAAAAAAAAAAAACTAACTGACGAAAGAGCCCCCAAAACTCGCCCCCAAAAGTCGTTTAAGATCCTCTCCAATTATTTTGACAAAGCACGGGGTTTTATTCTTTCTACTAATATTAAGTCTTAAGATTTTTAAAGTCGTCTTTATGTAGAAAAAAAAAAAAACTAACTGACAAAAGAAAGCAAACAATATTCTCTTCGGATCATTTTAGTGATGATTTGTATATTGTGTTCGTTTATCGTATATCATATAATTAGTTTTTTATTAAATATTATTTGTATCTAATTTTAAATAAAAATATTTAAAATAATTTCTGAAGATGATTTAAGAATCTCTGAAATCGTTAAAAAGAGAATCCATCGAGTTCGGATTTGAAGGAAAGTAGAGATTACAGTGAGCCAAGGACTTGATGTCACCGTGCTCGACATGTATTTTTGGTCAGCGCCACTGGTGGCACTGAATTTGTAGCCAGACGAGTGTTGTCTGTGCATGGATACGCGCCAAGGCGTGTGACTTGTTACACGATTCTTGAAATTGGTCGTTGCAATGAATATTGTTATCCGAGATTGGGGGTACATGGATACGCGCCGAAGGTCGAATTCAATCGGATTTATCTTTGAAAGACAAAATAATGGGCCTTTATGGGCTGTCCAATCTTTGGACCATGGATGAGCCATGAAGCTTCGAATTCCCGATTGGGTTTTTCATCATTTTTAATTCAGCCATATTTATTAATCTTTACCTCCTAAGACCAACTTCAATGGTGGGCTAAAAGCCAAATTACTCCTCAAAATTTCCCTCCAAACCCACTCTAACCCAAGGGAAAATTTTGAGCTAAATGCTAAATGCTAAACCAATGCCAAATTCCCCCCGAAATTTAGCCCAGAAATCGGGATGGATTCTACCCAATATTTATCGGAATTTAAATTTTTTTAGATTAAAATGTTCATAAAATTAATTTACGATAGTCTACATATATATATTTTTAAATTTAATTTAACAAAAAAAATAGCCTAAGTTCATTTTTTTATAATTCCGGGCTAAAATTTTAGAATAGAACGGTTAGAGTAGAAAAGCTGTTTTTGGGCTAAAAGCTAAATTTTTCAGGCTAAAAAATTTGACTTTTAGCCCAACCATTGGAGATGGTCTAAAATTATCGTTTAATCTCACTTTATCTTTGAAACTGAATTTGTCTCATTTTATCTTCTAAAATTTCTAAAATCGAGTCATTTCACCTCATTTACATTCAAGTTGGTAAAGATTTAGCGGTTTTTGAATTTTATGATATCATACATTGCCAATCACAATACCTCATTTTTACCAACATTGATACAAGGAGGATCCTTCTTAGATCCTAGAATCATACATTTCATAATTTATCCTAAGTATAACAAATGATAAGATTCAGCGTATGCTTGCCTTTAAAATTTGGTAAGTGCCCCAATAGCCAAAAGAATCAAACTTTCTCTCTTAGTTGCATGCCCTTAAAATTTGGTAAGTTCCCAATAGCCAAAAACATCCATCCATTTGTAGCAGGAGGTGAAGCTACGTGGGTGCAAGGAGGTGTAGTCACACCTCTGCTCGCCAAAAATTGAGGAATCGCCCCTCTGTTTCTGGGCTTGACGGAGAAAGTGAAGTTATGCAGCCTACGTTGTTGTTGCAGGATTTCTTTTTATTAAAAAATATCCAGGTCCAGTTACTTAATACTACGGTGTAGTAGTATTCTTCTTCATTTGTAAGAGGTCTTAGGTTCGATTCTTGTCAAAGGTGAATTCGAATCATACTATTGTTAGCCCATTGTGAGGCTAAGTCTACTCCATCTCGTATAGGGGTGGGTTGGAAAAACCAAACAAAAAGTGTAAAATCAGACCTAACCGAACCAAAGTATAGGCAAAACAATGTCTTTTTATATTTAATTATAAATTAATGATTTGTTTTTTTCCTTGAACGGCGTCGTTCAGTCACTCTCTTCAGTCTGAAACCTTAAACAAATCGATCGATCGATCGATTCCCTTCCCTTTCCCTTATCCCTCTCCTCTGTACTCTCACTCTAGACTATCTCCTTCCCAGCTTCGCCGCTCTTCCACTTCATCTTCTTCCTTCCCAACGACTTGCGACCTTCGACCTGTCTCACACATCTCGTCGACACGACGTCGTCTCACTCTCAATCTCTCACCCCCGTGACCCGCGCACGACCCACGACTTCCTCTTGCCGTTTCGAGTCTCGACCCATAAATTTCCTCCTTTGCAAGGTTAGTCTCTCACCCAGTCACCCTCGTGATGCGTTTTGCAGTTTTTTATTTTTTATTATTTTTATTTTTTTCAATTTCATTGGTTCTGACATGTAGCTTTTCGATTTCATGGATTTTGTAATTTGTTTTGGGTATGCTGGATTTGGTTGGGTAATTTCATTTCTAAACAACATTATTAAACTATTATTTGAGGTTTGATTAATTTGTGAGAATTTTTGGTTCTGCACTGCAATTTGTCTTGGGTATGCTGGGGAGTGTTTGTTGTCGATGTGGGGAAATTAGGGCTGTTGGGGAAATTAGGGTTGTTGGGGAGTGTCTGTCAATGTGGGGAAATTGGGGCTGTTGGGGAAAGTGTTGCGTCATTGAATTATTCTCATACATGGGAGAAGGTTGAAAGGGATAAAAAAGGATCAATTCATTATTTGATATGCAGGATGAGAAACTGAAATATTCTTACATGTGAACTATTTTCTGTATCTTTTGTCTTTAGAACAATAGTTACTTTCGTTTTCTTTGTCTTAGCTTTAGTTGATCAGTGATGCTTGTTCTGCTATGTGCATATCTTTGTGACTCGGTTTGTTGATGCCTGATGATATATTATCTGAGGAAACATGTTTGCTTTATCTATGCATTCTTCAATTATTTTTCATCGGTCTGTATATTCTCTTTTAGTGTTTAAGAAATGCACTATTTGTCTCTGATCAAGTTATGATCTGATATTTCTGTTAATAAAAAAGAAAAATCCCACCAGGTGCCACACTGCTAGTATCGTGTATCTCAAAGCCTCACATCCTCTTTTAATTTTTATTCTTTGGTGGTTAGTCATCCGTTGATGGCATCATGGCCACATATTGTTTTATAATTCATGTTAATGGGATTAGAAAACTTAATTATAAATATGTTCTTATAATATTGTGAGGACCATATGGAGTCATTATGGTAGCTAATGGTTTCATGACAATATATATATGTTTTGTATCCGTAGTCTTTGATCTGTTATCTACTATCTGTAATCCTTATATTTTGATGCTGATATTTTTTCCAAAGTTCATATATACTCAATATTGTAAAGTTGTTTTTTCAGTTCGGTTTATTATGTGCATTCGTAGCTTTTGCATGTGCATCCTACCTTTGCTTATTATATATTTTGTATCTTAATTAGATGAAGTCAAGTGCATCAAAGGCCTTGAGCTCAAGCTCAAACTCAATGAGATCATTAAATAGCTCCCGTGAAAAAATAAACTCATCTACTTAAACTTTGATGTTTATTTAAGTTTGGACTTTGGAAATTGGAAGACTTGATTGGTGATTCTAGTTGGAAGACTTAAACTTTGTCAGTAACGTTGGCATATGTCAATCTGTTGCCTTATTCTTTGTTGCAGTGTTATTTCCCGAAGTTTGTGGACCATGGAGCAGCTTTGGATTCACATAATGGTTTTGTTGTTGAATATGGTCTAAGGTTATAACAGTAGTACCACTTCTCAAATGACATATCTTTCCTTTTCTATCAAATGTAGATGTGTAAAATTGATTTCATACTTGTAGGTTTTTATGTGGATGACTCTGAAGTGACTTTGAATGTGAACTTTCATATTTCCAAATTTTTTATTTTTTGGAGTAGGAAAAAAAAAAAACCGAAACCAAACTGAAATTGAACTGGAAAAACGAAACCGAGGAAAACCCGAAAAAAAATTGAACCGAACCGAATCGAACTGAAATTTCGATTCAATTTCAGTTTTGGGAAATAACCGAACTGCTGAGAACCGAACCCAACCTTAATCATATGGATAATATCCTTTTTTCACCCCAAAAAAAAAAAAAAAAAAAACACTTAGGGGCCCGAACTGCTAAGAACCGAACCCAACCTTAGGGTTGGTTTAGTATTGCTGTGCTTTGAAAAAAAGCTGATTCTGCTGTGCTGGGAGAATAAGCGGCTGTGAAATAAAGCAGCAGAGTGTTTGGTAAACTTTTTTGTAAAAGTGCTTTTGAAAAAAAAAAATAGTATTATAGTGTTTGGTAAACTTTTATGTAAAACAGATGTGAAAAAAAGCCGATTTTTCAAAGCTGGGTTTTGCAGCTTCTTGTTTTTGGCTTTTTTTCACCCAAAACTGTGAAAAAAAGCTGAAGCTGAATGTTTACCAAACACAAAAACAGCTCCCAGCTTTTTTTGATACTAGCTTTTTTCAGAACCACCTCAGTACCAAATCAGGTCTTAATCTCATATGGATAATATCCTTTTTTTCACCCCAAAAAAAAAAAAAAAAAAAAAAAAAACACTTAGGGGCGGGGACGAAAAGGCAGAACGTTCTCTGCCATTGGAATTGGAAGCAAGTAGCAGTGACCAACGAACGGCTCAGGCTCCCTACTCCCAGCACAGTAGGCCACCGCCGTCAGTCACGTTCTGTCGCCCTCCACACTCGACGCCGTCGTCAGCCACCGTCCAATCACCACCGTCAATTTTGAGGTAATCTCTAATTTTTCAAATTTTAGTTATTTAAATCCCTAATATGTGATTTTGGGAAATGGAACCCATCTGTCAACAACTTTCATAACTCCTTTTTTGTTCTTTGTAATGAAAAACAACTCTCTCAGCTGATCACTTTGGAGTTTCCTGTTTCGATGTTCATATGCAAACGACTGTATAAATTCATGGTTCTGCCCTTCATACGATTGTTTGCCATGAAAAGTAAATTTCTTGCTTACGATTTGCGTAGCTTTAGCAACGTAAGTACTTCGTTTGCCAGGCACAAAATGCTTTACAGCATCATGAATTGGAGATATAATTGGTTAGCTAGGTATTTGATTTGTGTTGTTTAGAGGAATGTGAGTTCTTTGTTAGTTGCAGGATGCTAGCACTTCCTCGTAATGAAACAAGTTGGCGTCTTTGTTTGGTTTCTCAAAATTAAAATGAAGATCTCATAATGAAACAAATTGGTGCCCCTTACCTTTTTAAATTTCGCCCTTCCCCCTGATAATTCCTGTCTTCGCGTTTTCTTAATTTCCATTTAATTCAGACCTTGAACAAAAAAACTTACATGTATTTGGGATGCAAGCGATCACTACAATGTATATCAAAAGAAATTATTACGAGTATAGGATACACCACCTTTCATTTTATCTTGTGAAATTTGAGACTTACATGGATTTAATACAATCATCATTTGAAGCTCGACAAATTTTGTCTCTGGGTGTTGAGGTCTCTAATCCAATGGGTGGGTGTACATAGAACCCCCCCTAGCCCTTTCTCAACTGGCCCATCAAGCTTTGGGCTAACAAACTTCTTGCATCTCTAAACGCCGCGTATCACTTCCTCTTCTTCTACACTCACCACACTGACTGCTGCTATTGCTACTTCTCGACCTCTCAAAGCTTCTTCAACTCTTACCCCACTGGTTCACGGTAAAAACTATCCCCCCTCTCTCTATCTCTTTCTAGGGCTACTTCAGCAATTTTTACTTCAATTTCTCAGATTTTGTATCATGATTCCTGAATTAAGGCTATGGAGGCAAATACTGTTGAAGAAGAAGAATATGTATTGCTCGATCTCGATTCCGTTTCCTCGCAGTTTGAAATTCTGCCAAACGCACCCTATTCTTTTTCCGTACGTTTAAACTTTCTCAATTTCTCGTTATTTTTAACATTTTCCCCTGCAATTTTCAGCATTTGAAACTCTTTTTTGTGTGATGCCATTTTAATGTTGAAAATTGAATTGTGTTGATTTGCAGGGTCTGAACACGGAGCATCCAGTATTGAGTATAGGTGACAAGCTCAAGTTGGTGAGTTTTAACAGCCTGAAAAAATGAAATTCTGTATGAAATTCAATGGTTTTGTTCTCCAGTCAATGATTCTATGCTGTTTTCCGCTCTTTCTCTGTCTCTCTCAGCTTTGTTCGTTTATAAAACCGACATCATGTTTCTATGCAGTCAATGCCACATTTTCCTTTTTTTAAAATTTTTTTTTTTAACCTTACCCATTCCCGGACTTGGTAGGAATGTTGAGGCTGTGAAATTAGTTCATGTTGTTTTATGCAGCATTTGAACTTGGTCTTAAGTTATGCCGGTTTTATGTGACATTGTATGTCTTCCGTGGCAATGGAAATGTTTTAACTCCGAACTTTGCACTGATATCATGCTGAGGGTTTGATGCTATCTGGGAACTGTTTGTGTGTTTTGTAGAAGAATTTGACAAAATTAATTACCTGGCTGTGGTTTAGGCTTTTAGATGACATTTAGTTAGCAGAGTCTTTTATGTAGACATTAATGTATGCGAGTAAAAACTACCATGGAGACTCTTAGATTGGATTGTGCTTGCTTTGCACCTTTTTCATATTGTTTTACCTTGGTATTTTTTGGATTTTTTTGGAGCATTGAGCCTATGAAATTAGTTCATGTTGTTTTACGCAGCACATGAAATGCCTTGGCATCGCCCTCACTCTTTAAAACATTGGCAGCGAATGCTTTAGTGGCAATTAAATGTTTTAACTCCGATTTTTCTACTGTTTATCTTGCTGAGTGTTTGGTGCTGTCCTGGCACTTTGTATTGTTTATGACTAGTGATACCGTGCAGATGTTTATGTCATACTTTGAGTTTAGACATTCATGGCAGTTGGATGGTAGTTTTCTTTATTATTCAGTACTTGCTGTAACTCCTGCTTTGATTTTCTCTTTTGAGCCTCTTGAGCCGTTTCATTCATTTTTATTAGTAATTGGTATGTTATACTTGAAAGAACTAAGGCAAATTCTGCATCACTGGAAAGGCATGGAGGTTGAAGTTGTGGGCTGACATGATTTCTTTTCGCTAATTCTTGTTTTCCTACAGATAGGAGAATATCAAGAAACGGTTGGAACGTGCCTTATATTCAAACAAGAAGGTAAATTACACTTCTATCTCACTCAGAATACACCTGTAGGAAACTATGTCTGGAAAACTGTCGTATATGCATGTACTGGACCATATTTTTTTTTTAAGGTAAAGTACAAAAAACTACCTCAACTATTGGTGTCACAACTTTTTTATACCTTATCTTTTAAAATTGACAATGTTATACCTAATATTTAGAATTTGGTCTAATAATATACCTTCCGTTACTTGGCCGTTTATTTTTAGTTAAATGCTCATGTGGCTTCAAAATATTTTTTTTTTTCCTTCCTCCTTTTATTCCTCTTCTTCTTCTTCTTCCTTCTCCTTCTCCTTCTCCTTCTTCTTCTTGCGCCGGGGGGGGGGGGGGGGGGGGGTGGGGGTGGGGGGGGTTGATGGGTTTTCAAATTTTTTTTTTTTTTTTTTCTTCCTCCTTCTCTTCTTCTTCCTCCTTCTCCTTCTACTTCCTCCTTCTCCTTCCGTAGGGGCGATTGATGGGTTTTCAAATTTTTTTTTTCTTCCTCTTCTTCTTCTTCCTCCTCCTTTTCCTTCTTCTTCCGCGGGGCAAGTGGTGGGGTGGGTTCAAAATTTTTTTTTTTTTTTTCCTTCTTCCTTCTCCTTTTTTTCCTCTTCTTCTTCTTCCTCCTTCTCCTTTTCCTTCTTCTTCTTCTTCTTCTTCTTCTTCCGCAAGGGGGGTTGATGGGTTTTCAAAATTTTTTTTTTTGTTTTTTGGTTGAAGATTAAGAAGGGAAGAGGATGAAAATGGGGAGAGAGAGGGGGGGGGGAACGGACGAACAGAGGGATTTTTTTTAATTTTTTTTTTTTACTTTTCTTTATTATTTTAAAAAATATTAAATAATTTTTTTTAATAGAAAATGAGTTTCGAATCAAGCCACGTCAGCATTTACTGAAAAATAAACAGCCAAGTAATGGAAAGTATAACATTGAACCAAATTCTAAAGATGAGGTATGACATTGTCAATTTTAAAAGATGAGGTATGATAGTGTCGTGACATCAATAGTTGAAGTAGTTTTTTGTACTTTACCCCTTTTTTTTTATTAAGATTGGTTTGATCCCTCTAAATTAGGGTCCTCTAGTTCTGTTAGTAAATTGAGGGCTTCCCCATTCTTTGTTCATTCTCTACTTTTTTTTTATTCTATTGTTCTCCAATTGAAACTCCGTTTGTGTAAGCTTATCTTACATTGCTGGACCCAAGTTCGGATAAAGGAGGAGGGGGAGTGTGTCAGGTGTTCAATAGCCGATACTCCTATTTTACGTTGAATCATTATGATAATGAATCCTGAATGAAATTGTGCTAAAGCTAGGTCGTCACCCGTAAGTGGCGTGCCGTGTGGCCCGAGCATAGTGATAAGTGAGCAAGGGTCGTTGTATCTCCATCGGCGCCCGGATGCAGTGTTAAATGAGCAAGGGGGCCATAGAAACTTCTTTTTGAACAACTCCACTCAAATTTGTTTGGAAGCATCTGCCCTTATCAACTTTACACAGGACACGCAAAAGTACTTTGACTTTATTAGACGGGGGAGGGTGAAGATGCTAGGACTGGAAGGTAGAGTTCAAGAGAGTAGAATGCGTTTAGGAACATGGAATATAGGGACCTTAACGGGAAAATCTATGGAAGTAGTGGAAGTTATGTTGAGGAGAATGATAAATATTATGTGCCTACAAGAAACTAAGTGGGTTGGTCTTAAGGGCAAAGATCTCGAAAACTCAGGTTTTAAACTTTGGTATTCCTGCACAAATAGAACGAGAAATGGTGTTGGCATCATCGTGGACAAGACCTTGACACAAGATGTTGTAGATGTTAAGAGGGTAGGAGATAGAATTATGGCAATCAAGATTATAATAGGACAAGAACTCATCAATGTGATTAGTGCGTACACACCTCAAGTAGGGTTGGATACGAGTTTGAAGGAGAAATTTTGGGAAGACCTTGGAGACTTGGTGCAAGGAATCGCTCAGACAGAGAAGGTAATTATAGGAGGAGATTTAAATGGACATGTGGGCAAGGAAACAGGCAACTATGGAGGTTTTCATGGTGGTCATGGTTTTGGGGAGAGAAACGAGGATGGGGAAGCCATCTTGGATTTTGTAATGGCATACGATCTCTTCTTAGCCAACACCTTCTTAAGAAGAGAAAAGAACATGTGATCACCTACAAGAGCGGATCGTCAAAAACACATAGATTTTTTTCTAATGAGAAGGGGAGATCGTATAACTTATAAGGATTGCAAAGTGAAAGTACTGGTTAAATGGAATCAAGTTTTTAGGAAAACAAACTTCACAACATATGCTATTACCGCATTTGAGCATAATTGTACTAATTTATATGTTTGAGATGGGTATGGGCTTTACTATATAAACACAGTAAAATTGTGACTCGCTCTGGTCCTATGGGCTTTACTATATAAAGCCCCACTGACCACTGCCACCTCATTTTCTATTTTCTCTGCAACTGAAAATTGAGTGAGTGAGAGAACAAAGAGAGAGAAAGAAAGGAGAGAGAAAACCACCACCGCTGCAATGGTTTTGCAGGTCACCGTCGAGCTCGAACGCACCCACGCCTTCACTGTCTACGTGGACTCCCACCGCATCCTGACTGTCGTCACTTACGACCCCTCCGTCATCACAGAGTGCCTGAAGCAAGTCCTAAAGTCCCCTAACACCAAAAACGGCGTTGTCCTCGTCGGTTTCAAGGCGGAGGACAAGTACACCGGTAGCTTGGGACTCGAGGAATATCTGTACCAACTCCTCACCCTCAACATCGGGTCCCACACCCTCATCTACCACCTCCATTTCACCTGGACCTACGATAACGTCACGCCGCGCTCCCTTATCTCCTTCCAAGACCCTAGGGTTTTTGTCGTTGGCCGCGACATGGCCGCCGTCTCGCGGAGGCTCAAAGCTCACAACCAGATCGAGATCAGGAACACCGTTGACCTTAACGAGCTAGCAGTGAAGGGGATGAAGAGTGACGACCTGGATCTCGGCCGTTATAACCTCGAAAGGTTGACGAATGTGGTGCTTGGTAAGGAGATGGACGTGGTTTGGCCTGAGAATGAGGTTGAGTGGTTTGGCTATCAATATCGGTGGGAACTCGGAGCTGAAAAGGTCAAGTTTTCCATCGTCGACTCGTATCTGTGCTTCTTGATCGCTTCAGAGCTGATAGACGCCATTGATTTCACTGCTGCTGGTCTTAAGAAGAAGAAGAAGAAAGGTAAGAAGAAGCTCTGCGTTGCGTTTTGTGCGTGATGATTTGACCGTACGTATGGATTATCTCTCAGTTGATTTCAGTTTTGGTAATCTGATCAAATGTGTCGTTTTGCTATTTTAGTCTGCGTTTTATAGTTTTACATTGCTGATAAATGAGACGGTGCTGAAATTTGTTGAAAGTAGAGTAATGTATTTTCTTTCATCAATTTTCCTGCATTTTCTTGGAAGCCAAACAGGTCTTTAGGACTCTCTTTGTTTGCTTCCTTTCCCTAGTTTGATCAGTAGCACGGGTTAATTAGTTAAATAATCGTTGTATGTTATCAATTTCTTATATCACTAAGTTGAATATGATCTTATCGTTGTTTCAATCATTCTGTTAGATTGGTGAAATGCATTGAGAGATTGTCTTTTCTTTTCTTTCTCAATTTTCTCAGCGTTTTCTCGAGAAACAAATAGGAGCTCATAATTGGCTGGTTGGCTTGTTCAGCAAGTTTAATGGTTATTTTACGGCGAGCGGTGGACGTTTAGCGGTTTTAGAATTTTAGGACATCATACCTCACAATACCGTATTTTTGCCAACATCGATACAAAGATGATCCTCCTTAGATCCTAGAATCATACACGTCATAATTTATCCTAAGTATAACACATGATAAGATTCAGCGTAAGCCTGCCTTTAAAATTTGATAAGTGCCCCAATAGCCAAAAGATTCAAACTTTCTCTTAGTTGCATGCCCTTAAAATTTTGTAAGTTCCCAATAGCCAAAAACGTCCATCCATTTGTAACAGGAGGTGAAGCTACGTGGGCGCAAGGAGGTGTGGTTGCACCTTCGCTCGTTGGACATTGAGGAACCACCCCTTTGTTCAAGCCAACTAGCCAATTATGAGCCCCTGTTAGTTTCTTGGGAAAACGTTGAGAAAATTAAGAAAGAAAAGAAAAGAAAATCTCTCAATGCATTTCACCAATCTAACATAAAGATTGAAACAACGATAAGATCAGATTCAACTCAGTGATATAAGGAATTGATTACGTACAACGATTATTTAACTAATTAACCTGTGCTACTGATCAAACTAGGGAAATAAAGCAAACAAAGAGAGTCTAAAGACTTGTTTGGCTTCCGAGAAAATGCAGGAAAGTTGATGAAAGAAAATACAAGACTACTTTCAACAAATTTCAGCACCGTCTCATCGATTAGCAATGTAAAACTATAAAACGCAGACTAAAATAGCAAAACGACACAGATTTGATCAAAATCAACTGAGAGATAATCTATACGTACGGTCAAATCATCACGCACAAATCGCAATGCAAAGCTACTTCTTACCTTTCTTCTTCTTCTTAAGACTAGTAGCAATGAAATCAATGGCGTCGATCAACTCCGATGCGATCAAGAAGCACAGATACGAGTCGACGGTAGAGAACTTGACCTTCTCAGCTTCGAGTTCCCATCGATATTGATAGCCAAAGTGTCACAGTTTTACTGTATTTATATAGTAAAGCCCATACCCATCTCAAACATATAAATTAGTACAATTATGCTCAAATGCGGTAATAGCATATGTTTTGAAGTTTGTTTCCCTAAAGACTTGATTCCATTTCAACAAATTTCTAGGCACCGGTTTGTGTGTACTGTGAAAGTACTGGTTAAAGTTCATTGGCATCAAGAGGGGCACATCATAGGCAATGTATTTCGTCTTGTGAGTTGTGATTACTTCCATTGAAGGTTTTTTAGTATTCACTGTTGACTTGCATGTTTCTTAAATCCGTACATGCTTTGATAAGAGTGAGGAACTCGAATAGATATTGAAAGGTGATCTTGATTTTTGGATAGATTATAGAAAACTCAGGTTATACCACTTCCCTTCGCCGATGGAAGGTAGGGCATTACGCAGCGCTACCCTAACTCGAAGTGCCTCACGATCACCTTTAGTTGGGTTGAGTACAAATAGGGGCAAACCCTGACTGAGATGAGCTCTCAACAAGACCCAGATTCGGTTTAGATATCTATAGACATACCATTCGAAACTGTTGTTAATCCAGAATCTGTTACTGGATACCCCCTCTCCCCAAAACCTCTCGCCTCACTGTATTTTCATGGAGTCACAGAATTTTCCTTGAAAAGAAAAAATGGTCATATTGTTGCAGAAGGTGGTTATGACAGCCAAAAGCCATTCATAATCTATTCTTTTAAGTTTCTCATTATGATGTACATAAATTATCAAAGATCATTTTCAATCAATCAATCAGGAAAAAAGAAGCCACCTACCAAGTTTTATTGTTTCTTTTATTTACTTCCTTGTATCTGCTTGCATCAGTAGCACCTTATCTTGTACTAAAGCGAGCCCTATTGTAGATGCTAGCGCTGCGGTTCATGAAGAAACGGGGTCATCAGAAGCAAACCCTTTTGCAGGCAAATGCATAATGGATCCAAATCAATCTCCAGGCAAGCAAGTAAAACCAGTTAGTAGCCTTCAACGGATTTTAAAATTTAGATTGGCACCCGATCTCGACTCTCATGATCCACCTGAACAGTCTCGGTAAGTAAGGTCTACTAATGTTTTGTTACAAAACCGCTGAATTATGTATCTGATTTCTGAATTCCTTAGTCGAGACAAGCTTATTCCCTGGTTTTGAAAATGCCAGGGATCCGGTGCTACATACGGTGCAATCAGTGGCCGAATGACCAAGATTGGATTACTTGCACGCGAAGCTAAAAGCTCAATGCTGTTGTACAGCCCTTTTCTGGTCGTTTTTTGGTTAGACTTTTTCTTTCCCTTTTGACTTGGGTGGCGCCATGAGCTTCAGAGAAAATTAGAAAAGAGAATTACTTATTCGGTAAGGCTTCCACATTTGCTTGCTTCCAAACAATTTAAATTTATATCTTGTTTTTGTATATTGTTTTCCATGACTCGTCCACTCCTACCTTGGTGGGCCTGGCACAAATGTAATATTGGAACCCTTTTGTCCCTTCCTCTATTGACCTTCTGCACTTCGTTTAATTTTGTTATTCTTTTATGATTTATTCAATCTGATGAAATGAATCATTGAATTTGTTAGGAGACCATGTTTTCAGATCAATGTGTATACTTTGAATGATTGGATGCTACAACAGTAAAGTAATGACTAATGAGTAGTCAGTATTACAAACTTAAGGATGGTTCTATTTCGTTGATTTTACCCTTAAACTCCAATTTCCTCCTTGAACTTTCATAAATATCCAATTCATGGGTGGTTAGATCAATGCAAGATGAAATACATGAATTGAACAATGGAAAAATTGAAGGAGGTGACGAAGGATTAAAGTATAGCACGTGACAAAATATAGTAACAACATATTTGAATGGAGGAATTATTGTAAAATTCTGGTACTAGTTTAGGGATCATGACTATAATTAACTCATATTACTCGGCTCTTTTAAAAACAAATAAAACAAAATAACGATACGTTAATTATATTATAACTAAAATTAATAACACTACATGATAATATGATAATATTGATCTATGTGTTATTTCATAAAGGCAAGGTTAGACAAGTGCCATATGACTCCTAGTACAACTCCCTCCAACTTGGTGATTTGGAAGCTTACAAGTAGGAAGCATCTAGCCCTTCCACGTGGAAGCAAATCCGCGACATCAGAGTCAGCAGACACCACCACCAGTCCAATCACAGCCAGCCAGCTGTGCCAGTTTCTCCTTCGTTCCATCATCCCCTACTTTCTCTGCTACTGCTTTTGCTGAAGCTTCCATTCTTTTATTCTCTGCCCCAAAAAACCCAAATTAAATATTCAAATTAATTTTTTACTTTCCCTTTAAATAATTTGGAAATTAGGGCTTTTATTTTGTGTTTTTTTTTCTGTCGTTTCTTCTCCAATTGGAAAGTGGAAGCCCCAACTTTTAGCTCAGAGATTGAATTTCTCAATTATTCGTACGAACAAGTCAGAGATCGCCGCCCAAAAGCCTCCAAATTTCCACTTTCTGTTGTTGGTAAATTTTCACTGCTGCTTTGTAGTTAGAATCTTCATTTGATTCAATTTGGTTTTTAATTTCACTTTTTTTGCTGCTGTGAAAGGTTAATTACTGTTCTTTGATCGGTTTTTGCTCGACAATTTGCAGGTAAAGGCCTTGTTCGTCGAGTTTTCGATAATTGCAGGAAAAGGGCTGTGATATTTGGCCCGTCTGATTATTTATTTCCAATCACTGTATCAAAATCCTTTGAAATTTTCATCTGATAGTTACCCCTTGTTGTACTACATTTGCTGCATTTTCCTCCCTTCTGATTTGTTCTTCATCTGTTGCTTTAATTGCCTCCGATTTCGCCTAAAACTTTGACACTCATCAATCATCATAGTGAAGCTCAATTCCTTTTAATTGGATATATATAAGACTATAGTTATACAATTTTATTTGGTATTTTCTTGGTGCTGGTGGATTTGAAGGATTCATAATGGCGATGGGGTATAGGCCGGTGTCAATGGAGGACTTGCCGTCACATTTGGTTTTAGAAATCTTGAGCTCGGGAAGGCTTAATGCCATTGATCTTCTACGTTTAGAGTTAACTTCTAGGACATTTGGAGGGAGTCAGTGCTTATACCCTCACAAGTTTCGGTCATTGGTGGATTTTGCTGCATATCAGCTATGCGTGTCCCATTCTGTATATGCTAAAATGGAAGGGGATGCTCAGAGTGAGCTATTTAATCGGTGTGGTGGGAAATGGAAGCGGGTTTTGAGGTTCTTGCAATCGGTGGAGCAATCATCTGACATGGTTGAGACCTCAGCAGGCAATGTACTATTTCATTATTGTTTGCAGTTTCTTATGATTCATGAATGAACTTTATCAGCAATTTGGAGTACTGGTTATGGGAAAGAACACCAATGTGTGTGATAATATATTTTGGGGGTTTTCTAATTTAGTCAATCATAAACTACCCATTTTACATGAAATGATTTTTGTTGTTGGAAATTTAATCCTTTATTTATTTAGATTCTTGAAATTCTTGCATTGAGATTAGTTGGTATCTATATTTAAGGTGTAAGTACAAAACCAACCTGAATTGTGTGGTATTAAATTCTTTTGCCTAATAAACTTTTGCCAGTAGTTTTTTACTTTTTTTTTTTTTTTCCGTCAATTTTTGCAATCTTATTTGCATAGCAGTAGAAACTATTTTTAAGTACTTTCTGGTTGAAAGGAAAATGAGAAATGAGATATAGATTTTAAAGTAACTTGATACTGTAATATATAGGATTGCTTTCCATTACTTAACCGTTTGGAAGACTCGCAGAAAATGACATTATTTAGATTATCTGCTAATAGAACAAAGATATTAATATAATGTCTTCTAGAGGTTTGCTAGCTAGATCGACCTATTGATATATTGATAACTTTTTTTTGTTGTTTTATGCTGTGTTAAGTTTGTTGTACAATTTTCTGGTCCTTGATAGCTGCTGGCTAAAAGTTATGGTTAATTAAGATTTTTTTTATCAACAGATGCAAATTACAACTGGACGGTATCACACATTGCTAATCAGCAATTCATCATTGTACTCATGTGGTGCCAGCTTGTGTGGTGTTCTTGGTCATGGCTTTGAGACTAAGCAATGTGTAACATTTACCCGGATTAATTTTCCATCTCCAGCGCAGGTGGTCCAAGTCTCAGCCTCCCACAACCATGCTGCTTTTGTTATGCAATCTGGAGAGGTTAGTACGTGCTTATACCTCAACATGGTATACCTTATTCTGAGATGAACAAATAGTTTTCTTTTGTATCTTAGATGTGAATACATAAGAAATACTTCTCCATCATTTTGTGCTCAATATTTCCACTCATAATTTAAATTCTGCCGCCGACTTTGTCAATGTTCCTTTGATTTTTTTGCAAGTTATGACACCCATGGGTTGTTGATTTTTTGGCAGTGATAGGCACTTATAAGTTATTGTCGAGGTTTAGCAAGCCTCCGTGATCCCATCATGAAACCTGGTTTAGAATTTGGTCTGATTTCCACCATCGATATATCTGGCTATCTACACACACACACACAACTTTCTGCACCTATGTACGATTTATACTTCCCATATCTTATATACTCAAAACTTAGTAGGTCACTCTCACATTAGTCTTCTAAGAGTTGCCTTGATGCATTAAATTTGTGCTCGTGTGTTGGCAATTGTCACTCTTATAGAAGCTGAATATGCATTGCAAAGCGTTTTAGATATTATGCATGACCGTCCTTCTAGTCATGTAATGACGCTTTTTGGTTACTGATACAGGTTTTCACATGTGGGGATAATTCATCATTTTGTTGTGGGCATAAAGATACAAACCGGCCAATTTTTAGGCCTAGGCTTGTTGAGGCATTGAAAGGACTTCCTTGCAAGCAGGTAAACTTATATCCTCATTGTTGTATTATAAATGACAATGAATTTTTTTCAAATAGATAAAATAAGTGTCAGAATCGGTGGATATTATACAATCTTCTGGGTAAAGCTAATGGAGATTTTTGTGGAGAATTTTTCCCTTCATTGTGTCAACAATAGGAATTGTTGGATTTTTGGGAAACGAATCACCGAATCATTGTGTAGTATTAAGGATGAATATCCCTGTTCAAAGACTATATAGTTGTTGAACTACAATTTCTGTTCTTCTGTTTTCCTTTAATTTGTAACCCCTGCACTATGATTTCTGGATTATGGAATTACTTTTAAATGATGTGTCTAGTTATTGGATTCTTCTACTTGTAGGTTAAAATAAACATCACCTTTCTTTACCATAGAAATATAACTCTTTGCTCAAGAAAACAAAAACTAGGAAGCCTTTTGAAGGCTTCTGGAATTTGAAGCTAAATACTTTGATTGATGATGTGCTCAGTCTTAGAGGTCTGATTCGGACCACTTCCAATTATACATTCCTCTTTTTCATCGAGAAAAACTATTAACTATAGATATGAATGGCCCAAGTTCTCGTTCTCCATTGTTGTAAATGGATCTTATGCTTTATTCCATTCTTAGGTGATAATTACTCTACTCTTTATCTTCTCTGATGTCGATGTGTATCACTATATCTTCATGAGTTATCTGTTGGAACTTGTTTCACTCCAATTCTTTTTTCCTTGCCTATTTATACAACTTGTAGTTGGACATTAAATAGCTGGAACTTGTTTCAGGTTGCTACAGGGCTTAATTTTACCGTGTTTCTTACAAGACAAGGTTGTGTTTATACATGTGGGGCCAATACACATGGTCAACTTGGTCATGGAGACACCATAGATAGCCCAACTCCCAAAATGATTGAAATGCCCGAGGGCATTGGTTCCATTGTTCAGATTGCTGCTGGTCCGAATTACGTCTTAGCTGTAACTGACAATGGACTAGTGTACTCTTTTGGGTCAGGTTCTAACTTCTGTCTTGGCCACGGAGAGCAGCATGATGAGTTTCAGCCACGTGCAATCCAAAAATTTAAAAGACAGGGTATTCATGTGGTTCGAGTCTCTGCAGGCGATGAGCATGCCGTGGCACTTGATTCCAATGGATTTGTTAGTCTCCTAACCGGTGACAAAATTTCAATATTTTATTGTTGTGCTTGGCATGTATTTGACTTCTGTCAAAAACCATGGAAATTGCAGGTACATACTTGGGGTAAGGGCTACTGCGGTGCATTAGGCCATGGGGATGAGATTGACAAGACCACCCCAGAACTCTTGACCAAGCTCAAAAGCCACCTCGCTGTGCAGGTTTGGATTTTTCATTCATCTTATCATTTCTAATAAATTATGATTTTTTAAGTCCATTGTTCTATGTTGCCCTCAATTGTTAAGAGTAGATGCAATGCTCCAACACTACAACTTTGGCGTTGTGAAACTCGCATACAAATCTGTGCATCTTTCTCCTGTTTTTTTCCCTTTTCATGTGGAACTTCTCGTTTTAATCCATAGGTGTGCTATAACAGTTACTGTACTCTGTAGGTATGTGCTAGAAAGCGGAAGACCTTTTTCCTCTGCGACAATGGTTCAGTATATGGTTGTGGTTGGATGAGCTTTGGTAGCCTTGGATTTCCCGACAGGGGATTATCTGATAAGATCTTGAGCCCTCGAATCCTCGATAGCTTAAGAGCTCATCATGTTTCTCAGATTAGCACTGGGCTGTACCATACTGTTGTTCTCACTAACCGCGGACAACTCTTTGGATTTGGAGATAATGAAAGGGCACAACTCGGGCACGACACATTGCGATGTTGCCTTGAACCAACTGAAATCTTCATACAAGAAACGGCTGATGACATGGATCGTGTTACAGAATGCCTCTGACCTCAGGGAAAAACCATCTGCTTTGTGGAGTTGTATGATTTCTTATGACCTTAGCAAACACCATGAGATTTCCTGCCATAATTTGAATCGAATTTGTTAAGTATAGGGTAAATAGCTTTTGTGTATCTGTGAGATGAAAATGTTGAAGGCGTTACATGATAATTTGTGTGTGATATTTGTTGTGGGAAATTAGATTGCGTATAATATAAGAAGTACAGCTACGTTGTGTGTTCATTTTGTTTCAGTTTCCAGGTTGCCTTGTCAACGATGCTTCTTTCAAATTATGCCTACTTCTCTGATACCATATTATGCTAGCATCAATCAAGGACTGTGATACCATTCATGCACGACTGATGCTAACATAATAAGCGTCATTATGCCGTAGAATGCAAGTACGTGCGGCCGGCCGGCCAGCCAACAGGGATTTTAAAATAATCATTAGTCCATCGTAGCCGTGTCGGTAACATAAAAATCGTACCTACCGATATGGTGGACAATATTTGTTTGAACGGACTTTCTCGAAGCATAGTCACGTCTTTTGGATTTGAGGTTTGAATTAGTAAGGGTACAAATTTAGTTGGCAGTCCAGGTCAACATTAATATATTTGTAGTACGAGACACTACCTACTTTCTAAGTTTGCCAGATTTCATCAAACTATAAAGAATTGAAATATTTATTATCTTTTCTGACAGCGTTCTAATGTCAATTGTCCTCCTCTAAATGGGACGTTGGAAGCAGAGTGAAATGAGAAGATATGATCCATGTGACAAGCGTGCCTCCTTTTGTGTTGTTTGTTAAGTAGTTGGAAGTTTGCAAGAGGAAGAGACAATTGGAGCATTGGTCTTCAATTTTGGCTTAATTGGAGTTTGAGTCCTTAAACAAAAAATACGTAAAATTTGATCTCTGAATTTGTCATAACGCGGAAGGTAGTTCAGTTACAACTTTTATCCAGATTTTTCGCTTCAAATATCATAATTTGGACGGAAGTTTTACCGGAGTTACCTCAAAAAACACAGTGCTTCACATTGTGACAAATTAAAGCACCAATTTTTATTGACTTTTAGTTAGAGGTGCAAAGATCCAATTTGGCCAAAATTCAGGAACTTTGCTTCAATTTTATCAAAAGAGGAGAACAAGCTATGTTTTCCTCCTTTCTAAATTCCAACCACAAAAGTGCAACTTATGCTCTATTTCCACTACTGCATATAAGAAAAACTTGCATACAATAAGATCGTCAAAGTGGTCGTGTTTTAACTAATTATGCATTGTTATGTAAGAAAATTAAAATTATGGCTACACGTCACGTGATAAATTTGAAACATGACCAACTTAACGCCCCCACTTTATTTAAGTCTCTCTACTAGTACATGTGTCTCTACACTGTCTCCAAATATAATACTTATGTGTGACTATCTCTTATCACGTGACAATTTATTAACACACATTTTTTCTCCCTTTCTGTACCCTGAGCTTGGAAATATCATAAATAATACTGATCATGGTGGCACATCTCTTTTGCCAACTAAAATGCTAGGATGTTTTTTCCCAAAGTTTTTTTTTTTGGTAAAGATTTGTTTTTTCAAGTTTATGGATGAGGATCCTTTTTGTGAGGATCCTGAAGTTCACTTTGTCATGTTCGTCGTGTGTTCTTTTTTTGTCAAGTACTATTTGTGTTCAATTTTAAATAAAAAAATTCAAAAATAATTTCTAACCACTAATCACCATTTTCTTTCTTTATTTACTATTTTAGTTATGGGACTCCAGGTCACTTTATCTTTTTAAAGAAAAATGCTAAAAAAATTATGTTTTTAAACTATATAACGTGAAAGTGGATGATTAAAATTCCTCTATTGTATATAACTTAATCATAACAAAACCGCGTTTAAAGGACGACTTTTTTCCCTGGCCCATTTTTGCAAATCTTAATTTGTTCTTTTGCCCTTTTATTTGTTTAATTTTTAAGCTAATTGCAATGCCCTTTATACTTTACAGTAAAGAGTTGCTAATTTCCTATCCATTCATCTGCTTTTAACATTTTCTTTAATTCTTCTGGAACCACAGGTCCACAACCACATCCGAGATACTTCTGTTCATAAACCTTTTATTTTTATTTTTATTAAAAGAGCATGATAATTTTAATTGAGATGTAAGTGATTGTTAAAAAGCACGTGGAGTTCTTGTCGTAACTCAAATGCACTTTTTGTTATTGGGTTTTTATCACAAATGATTTTTGAAATTGACACAGCTTATTAAGATAGTATTTGAAATTGGAAATCAATTAATATGGTTCTTGAAAATAGGTGGTACAAATCAATATCGTCATTCTGTTTGAATTCCATTAGAAAATTTGTTAGTATGCTGACGTGGCACGACATAAAGTGAGGAGCCTATATTGTGTCATGTCAGCATACTAACAGATTTTTTAACGAAATTCAAACAGAATGATGATAATAATTTGTGCTATCAACTTTTAGAGATCACATTGATTGATTTTTAATTTCAAAAACTATTTACGATAAAAATACTTCGTTATTTGCTTTCGAAACAGTTCCCAAATGATCATTTTACCAAAATTGGGTGAATTTGACATATAGCCTTCAACGGGCTATATGGACATAGATGATATTTAAACATATCCAAATTTAAACGGATGTAAATAAATGCTTGAATATTCGACAGCATGTATGGAAAGAGGTGAATTGACTGACAAGCAGGTTTTGGGGTAGGGATCAGTGAAAGCCTGCCTACTGTACCGGCTACCAGCCAAAAGCAAAAGCAGTGGAGAAGCAGAAATGATCAGTAGAACTTTGGACACCCTTGTAATTTGGATCAGCATGGCATATGCTCTACATGTTATGTGGCAGGGGATAAGCATATGATATTCTGATGCCAATTTTGGTGACAGATAAGTTTGACAGAGATGGATTTACCAAGATTGTAGATAACATGAAAGTCATAATCCTAATCTGCTTACGTTCTGCACAGAGAATTTTAATCTCTCTTGTTATCGAGTTGTTCATATGCGATTATTAGTTTCATCAGGAAAATTATAATTATTCTCAATTGCATAACGCACTGTATTTATAGACTTATTTAATTTAAAATAATAATATACAATCAGTAATACGATGTATTTTTTTTTCAACTATTCCAAGTTTGTAATTTTCTTCTCTCTCCCAGTGAAAATTTAATCAACAAAAACAAGTCATGGGTTGAGTCAAGAACCAAAGCACCTTTTGTGGCAAATCGAAAAGTTTTTGGTTTTCGTCGATAAATAAATAAAAGAGCATAAAAACTGATAATTTCATGGTTGCTTTTGTGTTGCTATGTTGGTATACATGTAAATGCATACAGAAATGGTACTTAAAAAGCGACAGTGAGAAATAAATAAATAACATGCCATGACGTCAGTATGCGTAGTGCGGATATGACCTGTCTTCTTATTAGTTCGACAAATCATTCCCATCAACTAAATGTATATTTAGGGTTTAGGGTTCGGGAACATGTACTTTTGACACATATTTTAGGGTTTAGGGTTTGAGAACATGTATTTTTGACACATATTTTGAAAATGTATATTTACGGTTTAGGGTTCGAGAACATGTACTTTTGACACATATTTTGAATCGAGTCACTACGTAGTATGATTGTGTTCTCACTCTACGTTCAAGTTTTAGTAGACTAAAGTTGTGTGCTTGTGTTCTCAATCACATTCGAATTCGAATCTCTCTAACGTGAAATATTATTTGTAAAATATGAAAATTGCAAAACTCCATGCCAATGCCAAAAGAGACAATTTCCAACATCAAATTGTAAAAAGAAGAAAAGATCACATTTCAGATATCATACAAACTCCGAGTGCCAAAAACATTACAAAACCAAACTTTGAAATTCAGAGCACAAGATTCCCCCTCCTATTCACATCACTACCTCAATTTTTTTTTTTTTTTTTTCATATTTTTTTTTACCCCATGGTTTTATTCATTCCGACCTCATTTTATGATCAAAACCAAAACTTGTACACTTACAAACTCCTCCCAGAAAACATTTCTAGAAAATACACCCCCTACATCCTTCAGATCTCCAATGATCCGTGACGTCTCGATCCAATGATACAATGTCAGGGGCCGGGCGGAGGCAGGCCCTTCCTACTTTCTAACCCATGGTTTCCAAATGTTCTCTGAAAACTTCCAGCATCCCAGAAAAAGTGACAATTCCCACCAAGCTACAATCATCCTCAATAACCCACACATAGTTTACTCTGTGAGCAATTGCCTGAATCATCACAGCAACCAGTGAGCTTTTCGGGTGGCAGACAATGGCCTCCGCCCTCCTCACCATTCTCGCCGAGTAGCTGCTCGACCGGGTGTACCTCCCGGACCTAGTCGGCCGCAGAGCCGTGTTCGGAGACACCGATGACTCCTCGTCGGAGGAAGAAGATGATGTCATCATCAATGCATGTGCATAGCTACTTGATGAGCTCAGAGAGTAATTCTCCAGCACCCCCTGCAGCTTCCTCTCCTTCAACCTCTGCATCACAGTTTTTACCAGGTGCTCAGGGGGCCCACCACAGTCAATATAGGACATGAGGTCCCCTGCTGAGAGGGTGGTGATGGCGGCAGCCACTGACTCATCACAGCAGGCAAGGGTGAAGGGTGAGATCTCTCCAATAAGGACCCCATCGGTGTCGACAACCGCCACCGAGGTCTGCTGGGAGAGAGAGCGGGATATGAGCTGGAGTGCGGAGCTGGCGGAGGAGTGGTAGTTGATGGCAAGGATGTCGGTGCTGATGATGCCAAGGGAGTCTATGGACATGGCTGGCAGAGGGGAGAAGAGCCCAATTGAGCTGAGGAGGAATCTGATCACATCTTCATGTGTTAGCCAGCAGAACTCTTGGCCGTTGTGGATAGTGGTGGCGGAGGTGGCGGAGATGGGTTTTGGGTGCTGTTTTCTTCTCGAATTGCTTCTGGTTCTGATTGGGACCACCAAGTTCTGGACTCCCTCGAGGATCAAATCAATGGCTGCTTGCAGGCTGAAAATAAAGAGTAAAGTAAAAGGATTTAAGTATTTGGGTAAATTGGTCGCTAATTCACAGTAACAAACAAAATTCAGATGAAAAATTTATCTGATCTGGGATTTTTTTTAAAAAAATAATTAGAACACTCTGTCGATGGGTTTGTCAAGAAGTGAAATTTAACCAAACTTTGGCTCCAATTTGTCAATTACTCAAACAAAACTGAAAAATAAAGAAAATCCAATGCCAAGTTCATCACAAAACGCAAATCAAACCCAAATAAATTGAGAAATATAAGAAATTTCAAGACATGGGTTTTGGTTTTCAGTACCTGCAGGAAGGTTCCACGTGCATAACATGGCCAGGAACTTTGGTTAAAATCTCAGAGACAGGTGCCTTGAGAGCGGCGGATGGAGACGTCAAGCTGTCATCTTTGCTGAGATAGCAGATGACATCAACCATGCAGACCTTGCCAACGCAGCGGCAGAGCTGGCCGCCACCACCACCACCAACGCCGTCTAGGGACTTGGGTTTGGAGTGGTTGCAGTCCCAGACGCTGATGAAGTTGTCGTCGGAGGTCTTCAGGGCCTCCAAGGCATCGGCGACGGTGGCGGAGGCAGAGAGGGACCTCAGGGCCGGCTTGGCTAGACAGAGGTCGGATACCTCGTACCTCAAGAAGCTCACTGCCATGCAAGTACAAGTTAAGTGAGAATGGTTGAGAGGCGGAGGAGGGATGAGCTAAAAGAGGCAGAACCTTTTAGAACTCTTGTGGTGAAGGTGGTGTGAAGTGGGTACGAAAGTATTTATAAGAGAAGGACAGGGGTAGGCGTGTGGAGATAGTTTGGTTAGGAAAATGTTGGGGTGCTCTTACAACAGAAATAAATTAAAGTAGAGTACACAAAAGTTCAATAAATCAAATCGAAAATCTAGAATACTGTACTCTATTAATACTTTTTATGAGTATCTAAATTATATGTTTAATTCAAATAAATGACATGATTCATATGTCACATGTTTTAATGTATGAATGAAAAATAAGTATGGGTAATATAAGTTAAATAAAATCGTAACGTTATGTGACGAGTATTTATCATGTGGTATATTTCTTCATTATTATGACACGGTAGACCACGATATAATTAATGAAAAACTAATGTATAATTTGAAACCTAATGGGCAGAAAGTATGCTAAGCTTAAAAGCTGACCCTGAGCTTGAAGTGGGGATAGGAATTGACTGCACGGTTAAATGTGAAGAAGTTAAGGTTTCATTATAAAACTAATTGATAATGTAAAATGTAATTCAATTACTCATAAGTCCTTGTATGATTTAGTCACTTTTCAATGTGGGAATTTGTTATTCTCACACGTCTATTCATGTGTGACAAATTTTTAAGTTTAAGTTGTGAACCAGACAAATATAGGGAAGTGGAGTACATATAATTGTTAGACTTTATATGCGAATTAACTTACTCTATTACTTTGAAAAAGTTGAGATTCTGTTTAATCATAAAATTAATTAGTTATATAAAAAATAATTCAATTACTTATAATCTCTCGCATAATTTGATTCCTCGGGACTTTGCCCCTACGCTGACAAACCTTATATATAATACTCCTAAGTGTCATGGTAGCACAATTCTTATGTCCAGTCCATGACACATGGCCATGGGCCCTGCAAATTTTTGACAGAACACTGAGTCGGTACGGATCTTGACTAGAAAGAAGACGACTACATTTTAAAAACATCACTTTTAACTTTTCAAGTAAACTGCTAGTATTACTGTTAGGTAGTATTTTTTTTTACTTAAAAGTGAAAGTTTTTATATTCGAATTTCGTGAATAGGAAATTTGATATCAAATTAGACTATCTATTATGTGGCTTACCCAACTTTTCTTCTCTTTAATGTAAAAAAATTAATGTACTAAAAAAAACACTTTCCAAGCACGCAGCACCGTTTTCCTTCTTGGTTTGAGGGTGGGCTACTAAATGGATATTGAGTCATTGATCAAATGAAAACTCTACTCTAATGGATATTATCTCCGATGAGAGGTGGAAGAATGGTTAAGTTTCATAATAAATTAATAATAATATGATTTAAATTCATTTTTTATAAGAATCGAATATAAAATCTCTCACTTATAAATAAAGAGGAATACTCCCATATAAATACCATATACATATTTATCTATTACATTTTAAGTTTATTTTCAGTGAATAACGAATTTAATATTAATTTATAGACAGGCATATTGTACAGCTTGTCAAATTTTCTTATAGAGTAAATAAATATATCATTGTATGAAAGTACATATTATAGTGTTATTAACCATGTTAAATAGTTTCACCGAATCTTTAAGTTTTGGACCACATTTTTTAGAGATTTTTCAATGTGACCGAAACACGAGGTGGTACATCATGTATCAGTATATAAATGATGAGATATATGTCTTCAAAAGTTAATAACTTTAAAAATATAATTTTCCACTACTTATATGAAAACACTACTTACCGTATTCCGATCACAATAAAAAACTTTCTTCACTATTTCATTGCATATACTGAAGGTTGATGATATCGATGTCATCATCAAATCAGCGTTAGATATCGAAAATTAACTTATAGATATTGATATACAAAAGGACATTTCATCCCCAGTTAAAGATGCCAACATTAATTGGGGTCTTGTGTGTCAGTTGTATACATATTGTGCGTAAGAAAAATAATTTGTTTTATAAGTTTTGGATGGCCAGTGTTTGGTCCCTGCTACTTCGAAGTTTTTGACTCCGCTACTGCTGAGAGTGAAACCACGTACGGTTAGAGAGCACTCTTGATGGCGTCCGTGAATGGAAGCCCCCATTACCAGGCAAGAAAGAAGCGGCTCTTCTCACAGTCGTAAAGTCGACAGCTGAGAGACCACTGAGAGGAAAATAGGATTGGGTTACAGCAACTCCAACCCTCTTTAAGAGGTTGACCCAAAGCCTAAAATATAGGCTGGCATCCAAAAAAACCCCTTCATCCCTAAAAATAGGCCAACCCAAAGTCCACCCCAGTTTGTAGGTCGACTCGAAATGGACCGAGTGAAGAACCGACCTATCTGACATCATGCTGGCATCAGCATGACGTCATCGAATGCCTGATATTTTTTTTGCGTCAAGTGCGTGGGAAACACATGCGTGTAGGCGCGTATTCCCAACAAGTAACAGACAGAGGGCCCCGCGTTGCAGGCGCACTAAAGGGGTGCGGGTCATGGGCCACGTGGCGCATCTTCGGCCGTTGGATTTCTAATAGCTAGTTTTCTGAATCGTTGGATTTCCAACAGTAAAAAAATTTTGAATTTCAAACCCAACGGTTAGTGACGTGGCAACATATGGGCCGTCCAATTCCTAGATCAACGGTCCAGGATTTTTGGCCAAAAAACATAAAAAAAAAGTCAGAATTCTTACCGTTGGCCACATGTCCAATTTTGGGCAGCTGGATTTCAATCTTTTTCAAATCCAACGATCTAGATTAATTAACTTAATAAAAATTATTAAAAAAATTGTTTAAAGATACAGAAAAAATAAGACAAAAATTTATTTATTTATTTTTCTATAAATACCTAACCATCATCTTCCACCTTACACCACATTTCAATATTTTCAACACTTTGAACCAAAGCTTTCATATACTTTTGTGTGCAAAAAATTAATAATATTTTAATTCGAATTGACTAGACTTTGAGCCAGCTCATTTTTTAGGAATGGAGATACATTTGGCCAATTACTGTTCATTGGGGTCAATTACTATTCATTTTGGTAGATTAAATAAATTTTGGGCTAGCTCATTTTTAAGGGATGGAGTTGCTTAACGGGAACAAGTCGATAGACGGCCAAGATTATATATGCTTGGGATATAATTGTATTAAAGCCATAAGTGTGAAGAATGAAGCTTTAGCTCTTCATCAAGAAATTGCCACATATTGATGGTTGAAATTGAAATATGTACTTAGCCCACGTTTTTATTTCATATACTCTTATCATTTATTGCTCTCACCAACCTACGTCCACTCTTCTTCCTTCATTTTTCCCTCATTACACTTTCTTCTTCATTCATTATACTTTTTGACACACGCTGATCCAAATAATCTAGGTGGATATCTGAATCGAAGTGTGCTGGCCGACACTCATAGAAGGACGAAAACATAATTGAAGATGATGTAGAAAAGTACTAAGCTTGCAGGCCAATCCAGTGAGTGTGATGGACCATAGCATATAATTAAATATAGCTACCAGAAGTGAACTAATGTAACACACCTGAAGATGTGAGTTATAAATTTCTAGGAAGTCCTTACATTGAAGAGAGAAGATTATGCCACGTGTCTCGACGTCAAAGCTCCAAAGCCTACTAAATTCTAGAGGGTCGCAAAACAAAAGGTTTAGCGGGCAAAAATAAAGATTTATAAAACCTTTCCTTTTCAAAAGTATAAGTAATCCTTCGCCATAAAACAAGTATGACTTCGCAAAGTATTATACTATGTATGAACGCAAAACGAGGTATTAAAATAATAATATAAGAATACTTGGAGTCGAAATATAAAACCATTTAGGAAAAAGACAAGTAGAACCGCAATTCCAAAGTATGTGATTGGTAAGAATAACAATAATATAGTATTCCATGGCATCAACTGAAAGTAGAAAACCAAGTAGAAGATAATCACAATCAATAATCTATGTATAAGGGCTGTTTATTAGATAATGCAGAAACACAAGCTCATGCATAGATATTTTGACATGAAGCAAGGTGGGTGTTTAAAGTTTACGCTCTAGTACTATATACACGTGAAGCTGGCGCAAGGTGTTCACATACAAGTCCTAGTTGCCCTTGCAGTGGATTTGGTATAGGTTGCCTAGAACTGTTCAACTACTATTTGTATATTATGCATGGATTGACACATGTTTTACGTCAATCTGATTTTATTTTGACGGCTTTTTAGTTAAAATGTTCTTTGAGATTGTCATAACTCTTCATTTTAATCTCTGAGATTTAAAATCAATAGAAGTAGTCCTTAAGATTGTCTACCATCAATCATTTTGGTTATTCTGTAAAAATTCTGATTAAATTGAAGAAAACCATCGGTTCAAGGGGAGGAGTTGATTTGACAAAAGTACGCCCAATTTAACGTACAATCTTAGGAACCAGTTCTATGGACTTTAAATCTCAGTGACTAAAATGAGGAATCATGTTAATCTCAAAGACCATTTTGGATTAATAAAAAAAACCTATTTTGATTAATTATGTTGAGAATGCAAATGGCGAAGCAGCACATGGCATGTTGAAAATAAAGTGTTTAGGGTAAATCTAGAATTCTCTACAATCTCACAATTCTCAAATACTACTTCAATTCTTTATTCTTCTCCGTAAGGAGATATTTATAAGATTATATAGGAGTAATACTAGGGAATAAATCAAAACAATCATTTGTCAACAAGACAAGGAAACCTAGACTAAATCAAATCATATCAAACCTAATTAAATCATATCCCTAAAATACATTCCTTTTTATTTTCCAACACCCCCTCCTCAAACTCATGATGTGAAATCATGAGTTTGCCAAGAAGGAAGTCTTCATTGATACGCTGAAACTCGAATGCCAATTTTTTCGAAAGATCAGCAAATCACAATCCGTCCCACTTCTTTTCGAGTGCCTAGTTGGAACTAGCATCAATCTTTTCGAAAGCCCAACTAGAACAAATATATCTTTTTGAAAGGCCAAAGAACAAATCATAATCCTTGGAACTAACACCTCTTTTCGAAA